AGGTATCATTAAACCTAGGATTCTTCCCTTTGTTGCCTCTATTTGGCTTTTTACCCCTTCTGTGGTTAGGAACATCTACACTTGGCTTTCTGCCTGGAGGGAATGACCTCCTTTTACATTTACTATCAGAAGGTGTCTTTAAATTTGCCCTAGCATTCACATTTTGTGGGCAATCCCTTCTATAATGTTCTTTTGAACCACAATCGAAGCATTCTCCGATAGTATATGCTCTATTTAAACTATCGGGCCTTCTTAAAGGTTTTTCCTTTTTGTGAAAAGCCGCCCTGCATTTTCGCAAGTTATCTTCTGCAATCAATCTGCCAGATAACACTTCTAAAGATAAGTTATTACAATCAACATTATCCAGTTGCGATATAAAATTATCCCAGCTAGGATCAAGGGAATTGAGTATAACAGTAATGAGGGTTTGTTCAGACACTGTTTCCCCCAACATCAATTCCTGTCTTAACCTGTTTAACTCACACAAGTGTTCATTAATATCTACTCCCGCCTTCAACCTTGCAGAATAGAACTCCCTATAAACTCTGTTTGTAACATGGGAGCTTTTTGAACAAAATAGCTTATGCAGTTTCACCCAAACTTCTGTTACGGTCAGGTTACTAGATATACTGGGATATAGTGCAGGGTCAATGGACATCAATAAAATACAAAAGGCCTTATGATGTAAAAGATCAACTTCTAAGGACCATGGTCTAGGTGGGGGTTTTAACAACAACGATAAAACATTTTCTTTCATTAAGATTACTTGAATACTCTTAACCCATTCCTTAAAATTTCCTCCACCCACACTTAAACTTTTAAAATTAGGAGGAAGGACCTGTACATTATTAAACATGGAAACAGACATTAATTGATGTTCAAAATGTGGTCCGTCCTGGAACGGGCAATAAGGCATTGGAATGGAAGCACACAGCACAGTGTCTTCCATCTGGCATTCTGACGATCGTTCCTCCCCAATGGGAGGGATTAAAACTTCACGTTGTGCGGATGCAAAGCTCATCCTGGTTTGATCACAAAAGCTCGAGGGTCCTCTCTGGTGCACATCTCTAGGAATTTTTGGATGCGCTCCCAAATTCCTATCTTCAGTTGAGGCAGCCTCCGGAACCGTCCTGGATGTTGATGTCATCACGGATGGATATATCCCACTCGTGGCGTGCGCTGAATTAGTCGCAGACATCAGGGGTACTTTGGTATGTGCAGCTACTATTTGTTGAGCCGATGGTGCCTGCAAACCATCGCCTAAAATGGTTGCCAAAGTTTCTATCACACTTGCAACCTTACGCTCAACATGAGAGTCTCTTAAATTTTTAGCAGAAGTCATTGATGTCATCAAGGGAGCTAAAGTCTTTATGGCCTGATCTATGATGGCTTCAACAGCAGGTGGCGCAATATCAACTTGGCCATGCTGGTTTAACAAAGAAGCAGGAACATTCGAATCAGGCAGTCTGTTATCCCCCATTCTCCACTTATGGTCTGAGGTAGGGGTTTTAGGAAAAGATTGAAAGTCTCTTACCGATCCGGTGTTTTCTAGGACTTCGATCTTCTTTCCTTTCACGGCTGGATTCTTTAATAATCCGCTAGAATCAGCAGTCGGGTTCTGACTTACTGTGGGCAAATCTAAAAACTGAAGGATTGCCTTCCTAAACTCATCATCCACCTCTGTATTTGTTTTCAAGACCTGAAGTGGCGTTCTTCCAGTCTCTACTTCTTTAGGTGATGATGATTTACTCACTATCTTAGGCCCTTCAGAAGTTAAGGCCTCTGCTCCAAAACTTACAGCTCCACTATTCTCTAAATCAATTAGAGTTTGGGGTTTTTCAGCCAAAACATTTTTGGCCTAAGCCCCAGACAGTCCAGTTTGTGACTTCATACTTTTTGCTGCTACTGCTGCCCTAGTCAACATCTGTTCAACTGCAGACATTCAGTCTACCGCATTACCACATGAGCGTAGGTTCATTAAACCATCCTCTGCTACCAACTGTTAGGGAATGGGGTTGAGGGGTACCCCGGACCGTGAACCAGCTCATGAGTAAACACACTGAGACTGAAATAATTCTGACAGAGGCGTCTTGTGTAAAAATATAATTTACTTTAAAACATTTAAAAAGCACTATGTCTTTAAGAAAGCACATTAAAACAAAGTCTTATCTGGGTATGTAAAGCAAGGCTATCTCCCTAGATTCCTCTCCACAATACCGAAACAGTTCACAAGAGAATAAAGCTAGCATGAAGGTAAGCAGCTTCGGCGTCGATACATCATCAAGGCAATCAAAGTGGGGGGCAGCACAAACTTCACAGCTAAAAGTCACCTGAAGTAAAAACAGTTCAAACAGCAAACATTGCTTGAAGTTTGTGGGAGGAAAAAGGTCCAGCAACAGCAGTCCCGATGATAGCTTGCGTGCTACAAAACAGCAAAAGGCAAGCATCCGTGGGAGTTTCTCTGCAACGGCGTCTGGAGTCCTTATCTGCATTCTTCTCCCATCTGCGGCGTTGCACTAAGCTTCCTGCAGGAGCTGTGCATTTAGGCCTAAACCAGGAGTCTAGGCCCGAGTAGCAAGTGAAAAGGTCCTTGCTTATATGGGGAGTTAGCCTGCAATTAACTAGGGTGGGGAAGGCTTGCAGGTAATTACAAACAGGAGATGGCTTGATTAAAACCATACTGTTTGTGAGTAGGCAAGTAGCCACAGCAATCCTGGAAACACTCGTGACAATATCTATGATTCAAATCTTTCCATTTATTTCCTTATCTTTTTTCCTTTTTTACCCTCTAACCAGATGTACCATTTCTCCCATACTAAATAATAATCATTTTCCTCTTTTTTTCTTGTAATTCCTTTGTAAGTTTGTCCATTTCTGCAGATTCCATAATTTTAAAACTATTTTTTTTTAAATTTGATTTATATGCCGCCCTTCTCCGGAGACTCAGGGCGGCTTACAATGCATTAAGCAATAGCCTTCATTCTTTTGTATATTTTATACAAAGTCAACTTATTGCCCCCACAAACTGGGTCCTCATTTCACCTACCTTAGAAAGGATGGAAGGCTGAGTCAACCTTGAGCCTTGGAGAGATTCGAACCAGCAGAAATTGCAGGCAGCTGTGTTAATAACAGGGTGCATTAAACCACTGTACTATCAAGGCTCTAATTCCATATTGATATCTTCTCTTGGGCTTTGAACCTGAGCTTCCTGTTGCTGTGCAAGGTATTCTGTTGGCTGCCGTCAGACTCCCATGGGGCAATGCAGGAGTTACAGCTGAGGTGGTCTGAGCTCCGAGGTTTGGTTGAAGCTTGCTGGGTGATGCAATGTAATGAAGAAGCTTATGCTCTGGAAGGGTGTGGGGCAATTCCTGTTGCGTCTTAATGGCTTTGTCCTGGTTTGGATCTTGAGTGAGGGCTAATCCCGTCACCCTGGAGCTGAGGGCCTTTTGTCTTGTAGAGAGGCTGGCCCAGTCCTGCTGGGGCTATTAAGAAAGATGGGGGCTGCTCTCCAAGAGCATGTTCCTCCTTTAGGGAAATACAATATTCTGCCTTTTTAAAAATATTTTCCAAAGTATTTCCTTCTTTTAGGAGAGGGGAGGCTGCTAACTTTGTACGATAGGAACAGAGAGGACCTGGGTTCTGTCAGTTCCCTTGATGACTGGCCCTATCCCCGTCCTTAAATGAATGCATGGATCATGAAGCAGAGCGCTGGGTCCCTCGGGAGGGGGTAGCCCTTGAAGGACTAGGACAGTCCCCTACACAGTATCTATCAAAACAAGGGACAGGATTCTCCCCACTAGTCAACCGGGTTTTTTGGGGGGCAAGACGTTCCTAGCTTCAAAAGTTCCTCTGGTCCCATTCAGGCTGACTCCTGCTGATCAGCGGTTCCAGACTGTTGATGTCTTGCGTTGGGGCAATTCACGTTTTTAGTTTCCGTTCCTTTTACAAGGAGCACACTGGTCTCTCTCAGCCCTGCTTTTTTGTTTCCCTTTGGCTCTTTTTGTCTTGGCTCTCCTCTGCCACCTTCTCTACGCCTGTTCCATCCCCCTCTTCCTCGGTTAATTTATTCTGCAATCCCCCCCCTCTGCCTTTCCCCCCTTACTGGCGCTTTCTCTTTTGAGAGCTTGTGCTGACAGGATAGCCTTCCGCTCGGCTTTTCCTGCTTTCTTTGCGTCTTTCTTACCTCGTTTTCTTTCTTACCTCGCACGTGGAGCCATATTGGTGGGCACGTGAGCTCAGCTCCAGCACGCATGCGTGCGCAGGCCAGCTGATTTTTGGGCCTTCTGGGCCCACTGGAATCAGGGAAGCAGGTTGTTTTTGGCCTACGGGGGGTGGGGGGGTGGGGAAGACCGTTTTTCCCCTCCCCTAGAAAGGCTCTGGAGCCTGGGGAGAGCAAAAAAGGGCCTTCCGGAAGTCAGCAAATGGGACATTTCCGGCCTCCGGAAGGACTCTGGGGTGGGGGTGGGGAAGGCCATTTTCGCCCTCCCCAGGCTCCTAGAAAGTCTCGAGCCTGGGGAGGGTGAAAAACAGCCCTACTGGGCCCACAGTGCCATCATGTGTCAAAAGAGGGGGGAGTGCGGGGGGGTCGTGTGTGTATGCGTGGGGGACCACATAGAATTATGGGTGTGGGCACGTACTCGCACGACCCTCCCCCCCGTGCTACCCCCACATTTGGCACACGATGGCAAAAAGGTTAGCCATCATTGTACTATATGGTCTCTCAGCCAACTCTGAAATTGGCTTCAGTGCTGCTCATTCGACCTTCTGTGACTTAGATAGGGCGCAGGGGATGCTGGGAGTCACAGTCAGAGAGGATCCCGGAGAAGGGAGCCCGAGGCCTGGTCTGGTGGGCAGACGGTGAGGTGGAGGCTGTGCCAGCCTTGGCCTGTCCAGAAGGCCTGTGAGAGGCGAAGGCTTCGGCCTTCCTTCCCAGGCGGACCTGGAACTGCCCTCTGGGGAAGGGGACAAAGCCGTGACCCACTTCTCTTTTGCCCCTTCAGGAAGACGGAGGAGCCCGGTGGAGGAAGGAAAGAAGCGCCACCTGAGAGAAGAGGAGGCTCCGCGGAGCTGTTCTGCCCAGTCCCGGCACCGCTTCCCCAGGAGATCGCGGGGATAGGCCTGGACCTCCAGGGCTGCAGGCGGGATGAGCCAAGCGGGACCCTGGGAAAGGGGGCTGCCTGGAGGGAGCTGCATGGAGAAGAAAACAGGCGGAGACCCCGAGATGGGCCTAGAGGGCGGAGAATCCTTCATAACAGGCAGAGAACTCGGGAGTCCCCAAAAGATCCAGGAAGGAGAGAAATTGCACAAATGCCTGGAATGTGGAAAGAACTTCAATTGGAAAGGGAAGCTTTACGCACATCAAAGAATCCACTTACAAGAGAAATCTAAAAGCCCAGAATGTGAGAAATCCTTCAAAAGAAATGAAAACCTCAAAGACCATCTAGGAACCCACATAGGAGAGAAACTTCATAAATGCATGGTGTGTGGAAAGAGCTTCAGTTTTTCGGGAAACTTTTACAGACATCAAAGGCTCCATTCAGGAGAAAAACCCTATAAATGCCTGAAGTGCGGAAAGAGATTTATTAGGAGGGAAAGACTTAATACACACCAAATAATCCACTCAGGAGAGAAACCTCATAAGTGCCTGGAGTGTGGAAAGAGCTTCAGTCAGAGAGGAAACCTTTATGCACATCAAAGGAGCCACATGGGAGAGAAATTTAAATGCCCGGAATGTGAGAAATCCTTCAAAAGAAATGAAAACCTCAAAGACCATCTAAGAACCCACATGGGAGAAAAACCTCATAAATGCTTGGAGTGTGGAAAGAGCTTCAGTCATAGCAGCAACCTTTATAAACATCAAAGGATCCACACAGGAGAGAAACCTCATAAATGCCTGGAGTGTGGAAAGAGCTTCAGTTTTTCGGGAAACTTTTACAGACATCAAAGGCTCCATTCAGGAGAAAAACCCTATAAATGCCTGAAGTGCGGAGAGAGATTTATTAGGAGGGAAAGACTTAATATACACCAAATAATCCATTCGGGAGAGAAACCACATCAATGCTTGGAGTGTGGAAAGAGCTTCAATTGGCTGGCAAACCTTTATACCCATCTAAGAATCCATTCAGGAGAAAAAGGGCACCAATGCCCGGAGTGTGGGAAGTACTTCAGTCAGAAGAGCAACCTTCTTAGACATCAATTTATCCATTCAGGAGAAAAACCCTATAAATGCCTGGAATGTGGAAAGAGTTTTACTGACAGTGGAAACCTCCGGCGACATCAACGGATCCATACAGGAGAAAAACCGTATCAATGCTTGGCGTGTGGAAAGGGTTACTATGACAGCGGAAACCTTTATAGACATCAAGTAGTTCACTTAGGAGGAAAACCCTTTGAATGTCTGGAGTGTGGAAAGAACTTCACTAGAATTGAAAATCTGAAAAAACATCAGAAGAATACATGCAAGGGGAAAACCATGTTAATTCCTTGAATGTGAGCTTCCTTAAAAAAATGAAAATGTTGGAAATGTAAACACCAAAAAGGAACTTATTATCACATGTGGTGGTTCTGCCATAAGACAAAACAATTTTGGCAAATAATTAAAACACAAATAGAAGAAACTATAAATCAACAAATAGAAATGAGGCCAGAAATTTTCCTACTGGGAATAATTACCAGGTCATATGAAAAAGAAATAAGATATTTAATAATTCACATAATTACAGCAGCACGAATAGTTTTCACCCAAAACTGGAAAAACAATGATATACCATCAGAAGACAATGTGATTAGAAAAATTATGGAGTGTGTGGAAATGGATAAGCTCACAAAGGAGATACAAGAAAAAGATTAAACAGAATATTACTTAGTCTGGGAGAAATGGTATAAATGGTTGGAGGAAAAGGGGGGACAAAGAAAGACTAAATAATGGTTAAATTAGGTAGAGGAATATGGAAACAAATGGGAAGATATAAAAATTGTGGAAAGGAAATTATTTACAAGTTTATGTTAAATGTAAATAAAATATTTAGATCAATAGAATATATTATAACTATATATATGCTATACTAGAAATATATGTATAAAAGATATATTAAGTAAGAAAGAAAATGTATAAATATGGATTACTGATGCGAAGATGTTGAAAAGAAGATGAAAATATCTGTTTTTGTTTGTTTTTAAAAAAACTTTAATAAAAATTATTTTAAAAAAATGAAAATCTGATCATTCTACCTCCTTTTGTGGATTACAAATAAATCAGACGGGAATATTTTTTTAACGATATTTTTAAATTTTTAACACTTTTAAATGTTTTGTGGATATTTATGGATTACCTTGTATTATCTTTTTGTACTATGTATCTGTGTATAAAAGAAATGTCAACTTGTTAGAGTAGAACAAGATTATACAAATTATATACAGTAGTGGCCAAAATTGTGGAAACCTTTTGGGAAAAGTGTCTTTTCTAAAACTAGCTAATAAAACCATTTTTGGGGGGAATAGTGCCATAAAATTATACATCAATGGAAAGATTATTTAATCAAGAATGTAATGCAATAACTTTTATGAAGAATTTGCTATTAGAATAGCAGTTACAGTATAAAGAAGAAAAGTGAAACCCGTAGAAAAAAATGACATATACAAAAATGATCCCCATGTCAGTTAATACTTCGTTGGGTAACCTTTAGCATGAATGACGGCCTTATAACGTCTTCCCATGGAGTGAACCAAGTCTTTTAATTCTGCAGCTGTTATCATGTGAAACCAAGATTGAATGATGGCTTCTATTAACTGGGTTTTATTGCTGGGTCGCTTCTGACTAACACGTTTCTTTAGTCGGAAAATCCATAGATTTTCAATTGGGTGAAGGTCTGGGCTATTCCCAGGCTATTCATTCCAGCAGTGGAATAGGATTATCTTCAAACTCCCCCCCAAAAAAGTGGTGTTATTAGCCATCAAAAATACACTTTTCCCAAACGTTTTGGCCACTACTGTATATATAAAGCCCTCTCTCAAGATTAGCTCCAGGAGGCCAGAGTGCAACAGTGAAAGCATCAAGGAGAAACTTCCTAACAGTGAGGACAATTAACCCGTGGAACAGCTTGTCTCCAGAACTTGTGGATGCTTCTTCGCTGGAGGTTTTTAGAAAGTGACTGGACAACCACTTGTCTGGAATTCTATTTGCTTGAGCAGGGGGTTGGACTAGAAGACCTCCGAGCTCCCTTCCAATTCTGTTGTTCTGTTACTGGCCAATTTGGGTGAGCAGGACTACTTAACCCTGCCTTTACACACATGCGAAGCTTCCCCTGCTAACATCTCTCCTACCGGATGGTCCGAAATGAAACCCAGTCTCGTGAAACACAAAGATTTTAATGCAAAACAGACAAATTCAACTTGGAAGAGAGTAAAAAAATTAAACACGTGTTCGAAGCAGCTGCTATTCCAACTGTGGGAGCCCGTCGTTTGCTTACTCACGCACGAGGCTACACAGGGATTCAACTGACAAAGACATTTTAGAAGTATAATTTTGCTTCCTTTCTGTGACCACACTGTGCTCTGGGAAGCAAAATGAGAAGCAGTCCGTATAACCCAAATAGCTTCCTCCAAGGACCCCCATAAGTCGACAGAACAACTGCCAATAACTTCCTTGAAGGTCACTCCTATCACTGGGTTGAAGTATCCTTGGGAGTTGGTGTGAGGGAGAAGGGAGCCCACAAGAAGCTGCAACACAAAAAGTTACAGGTCCCAACAAAACAAACCCTTATCATGGCTTAACACCAGATCTAGCATGTCGGGACAGTCCCGCTGTCGCAAATAAGAGCAAAAATGCTGTTTGTTTGCCAGGCAGTGCGGTGTTCACACTGCAGGTGGACAACTAGGACTCCTGCCAATGTCCGCCAAGTTTCTATCCTCCAAAGTCCCAGAATTCTCTGTGTTGATCATGTCAGCTGGGGAATTCTGGAAGCCGCAATCCTCGCCTTTGTGGTTACGCCAGATTGGTGAAGGCAGCTTCAGAAGTAAGGAAGGCAATTTCCCCGCATCCGTAGACAGGAGATGCTGCTCATAATTGTCAAAATCTGCCCAGTAGCCAAGATGCCAGAGGTAGAATTTTGCCGCCCCAAAAAACTCGATCCCTCCCTTGGCTTTGGGGTTTCATCTCTGGGCCAAACACAGGAACAATGAAGTCCAGAGGGCAACCGAACTCCCCAGAAACACACACTCAGGTTTAGGAATAAAGAGAATAATGGAAGCAAAGGGGCTGCTGCCGTCACAGAGGGACTCCTCTTTTCCGGAGCCGCCGGCTTCTCCGGGTTCTGACTGGGCTGCTGTGGTCTGAGTCGACATCCGTTCCAGGCTCCTGAAAAGAAGACAAGATTCACAGATGCAGCACGAGACACAGGCGGATTCCTTGGCCTGGCATGTTGCCTGCATCCTTTGCTCCGTGGTTTCAGTCTCCCCCCCCAAAAAAAATTCCCAAGGAGTGAATTCAACTCTCAGGATTCCCACAACTGGCAGAGCCAAATCTGAGAATGCTACTATTGGGCAATTCTCTTCTTGGTCACCAAGAAACATGGAAGATTCAAACACACACACCCCACACACAAATGTTTTCATACCCAGGGGGAGGTCTCGCTATCTTTATCTGGATATCTCTATTCTAAGCTTCCTATACCCAGAGCCTTTTTTTTTTTTTTTTTTGGCTTCCACCAACTTATCATGCTGATTTTACAGGTTGGAAGGCCACTCTGCTCAGACTAAGCACACAACCCTATTTGCTTTGGAAAATAGCTTGATCCCTTCCTCTCTGTGGCAGCCCCCCAAATATTGGGAGGCTGCTATCCTGTCTCCCCTGGTCCTTCTCTTCACTAGACCAGCCAGGCCCAGTTCCTGCAATCGTTCATCGTCTGTTTTAGCCTCCGGTCCCCTCATCCTCCTGGTTGCTCTTCTCTGCACTCTTTCTAAAGTCTCCACATCTTTTTTTATAGTGTGGTGACCAAAACTGGATGCAGAACTCTAAGTGTAGTCTTACTAAGGCTTTATAGAGGGGTATTAATACCTCCCTTGATCTTGACTGTATCCCTCTGTTAATGCAATTTAGAATTGGATTTGGTTTTTTTGGCTGCCGCTGCACACTCATAGCTCATATTTAACTGGTTGTCCACTAAGATTCCATGATCTCTTTCACACTTCCTGCTATTAAGCCTGGTTTCACCCAGTCTCTATGTGTCCTTTTGGTTTTTCATGCCCAAGTGTAAGACTTGATTTTTCTCTACACTGAATTTCATTTTGTTAGATAGGGCCCAGTGTTCAAGTCTGTCAAGATCAGTGGTGAAATGTAAAATTTGTTACTACCGGTTCTGTGGGCGTGGCTGGGTGGGTAATATGACTAAGTGGGCGTGGCCAGCTTTTTTTTTTTTCATTTAAAACCTGACGATCCCAGCTGACTTGCCTGATCGGCAGAGGCTTTTTTTCCCCTTTAAAAACATTTTTTTGGTCGAAGAGGTTGTTAAAAAATGCTTTTAAAAGCCTCTGATGATCCCAGCTGAGCCACGCGATCATCAGAGGCTTTTTTTTTTTTTTAACTTTTAAAAGCATTTTTTTGGCCAAAGAGGTTGTAGAAAAAAATGCTTTTAAAAGTAAAAAAACAGCCTCTGATGATCTGGCGGCTCAGCTGAGCAATGGGGTGTGGGGGGCAGGGATTTTTGCTACCGGTTCTCCGAACCACCCGCCTCCATAGCTACCGGATCAGGCGATCTGGTCCGAACCGGGAGCATTTCACCCCCGGTCAAGATCCATCTGGATCTTGAGCCTATCGTCTAGGTTACTTAAATGGCGGACAGGACCACTTGTCCGCCATTTGCTTTTGCTCACTCCAGCATGAATGAGGGGTTGGGCACATTCTGGGATCCCCCTTTTACTTAAGCAGCATTATTTTGGGGGACCCAGCCGTCCTCCTTTCTCCATCACAGCACCTGCCCTGTGGAACAACATCCCGCCAAGATCCAGGGGCCTTCAGCTCTCTCGGCCTTGCGGAAGGGCCCACAATCTTGATCGATCGTTGGACATTTTTGGGTGTGGTGCCTAATTGACCTATTGTTGATTGTTTCGCCGTTCTTAAAACGAATTAAAAACCAATTTCTTTAAGACTTCAGAGATGTGTTATGCTGCTTGTAGCTGTTCATTTGTATTTTTTTTCTTTGTTGGAGTTTTTATTCCTTGTTTCAATTTATAGGTGTGGCCATGAATAGCAATAGCACTTAGACTTACAGTATATACCGCTTCACAGTGCTTTCCAGCCCTCTCTAAGCAGTTTTACAGTGTCATCCTCTTGCCCCCAACAATCTGGGTCCTCATTTTACCCAACTCGGAAGGACAGAAGGCCGAGTCAACCTGGAGCCTGGTGGGATTCGAACTGCCAAACTGCTGGCAGCCGGTGACCATCAGAAGCAGCCTGCATTACTACATTCTAACCTCTGTTCCACCATGGCTCTTAAATTGCATATTTGTGCTAAGATATCACAGGTCTACTTAGGAAAAAAAGCACTAAAATATCTCTATTAAGGATTCCCACCACCAAGATTACCTCCAGTTCCCCATTGGCCTCCGTTGTCTCAGCAGGGCCATCTCTGGTTGCTCCTTGGGGTTCTCTCTCAGCCTCCTCTTCTTCTCCTTCCTCCTCCTCTTCCTCCTCTTCCAAAGACGAGCTGGACTCTTCTCCCTGGCTGCTCTCCCACCACCTGCCCCCCGAGAGGGTCGTGGCCACCCTGGGAGGAGGCAGCGCGGCCAGAGCAGCTGGGAAACTGAAGGCCGCCAAGAACCGTTCTCTCAGGAGTTGATAGGCAGGGTTGTCCTGGAGTTTCTGGCGCACCGTGTGCCTCAAGGCCTCCAGGTCTGCCTGGCTGGCCTCTTCCCGCCGCCCTTCGGGGCCCAGAAGAGAGGCAGCGCTCTGCTCCAGGGACGGTTTATTCAGCAGCAGCGCCGAGAGCGTTTTCAAGCTGCACAGAAACGGGGGCAGATAAGGCAGGCCCCTTCCCAGCGAGGGAGCCCTCACCCCCTGGCTCTCCTTGGCCCATGCCTTCACTGCCGGCTCTGCTTCTAGGGAAAGGAGACGAGAAAGGGGGGAGGCTGTGCCCTCCTGGGGTGGACATGGCATGGGGCAGGCCTGCAGTGCTGCATCAGAGGGGACATCTAGAGCGGCTGGGCCTTGAGACAAAGCCTCTGAACTTGGGGTGCTGGCAGCAGTCCCTCCAGGCAAGGAAGGTGTCCCGACACAAGCAGCGGGTGGAGGGTACCGTGGTACTGTGGAGTTCCCAAGAAGTGGCAGAGGAGGAGGGGGGATATCCGTCAGTCGAGTGCCTGCATCGCTCTGTGGGCAGCCGGAAGGAAGGCCCGCTTGCATGGGGGGCCCCTCCATCACCGGAACCCCCATAGTTGCGGCGGGGATCTCGACTGAAGTCTCTGCCAGCTGGCTGGGATTTGTCGGAGTGCCACTGGCCAGTGGCTTTCCTTGACTGGGGACGCTCACCAGGGTGATCGGGAGAAGGCCTTGAGGAGTCACCACCCAACTGATGGGCAGGGTGGGTTGGACAACTGCACTGGGCTGTGCTTGGGCAGCTACCAGGTGGGGTAAAGCACCAGAGGCTGGAGTGGGGCAAAGGGCATCTGCCAGGATGGAGTTCACGTTAGCAGGAGGTCCAGCAGGTGTTCCGGCCACTTCAGGGTTTCTCTGAGGCGAAAAGCCCTCTTGGCCGCCATCTCTGCCTTCTTCTCTAGCGGCCTCATCTTTGTCCCCATTGCAGGGAAGGGTCCTCTCCTGAGAGCCCCCCGCCAGGTCTGCAAGGGAGGCCGAATCCCTTCCAGGAAATGGCCCCAGAGTCCCGGAAGCCAAAGCAGGAGGCGGCCTTGGTGACACCTGGCTGGCCGTGAGAGCGTGGGGGCCGTTGGCCAACGGGGCGATGGGACCCCTTGTCTGTGGGACCATGACAGAGGTAGAGAGGAGCAGCTGAGGGGCGAGGAAGATCTTCTTCTGGGCAGCCTTGCTGGCCATCTGTTCGCGCAGCCTCTTCTCCCGTAGCAGCTCCGAGACGGTTTTCAGCTTGGGGGCCGGGCCAGGTGGCGAACGGGCCTTCCATGTGTTGGTGGGGACGGGCCCCTCTTTAGCCTTCAGAGGAATCAGCTTCTTGCTGGGTTGGCCGCTGGCCGCTGGGAGGCCAGGCTGAGCTGGGCAGAAATAAAGCAGAAGCTCAAATTTGGGATTTTTGCAGCCACTCCACTAAAAAATAAACTAGCTTCCCAAAACCCTCCCTCCAGCTGCGTCACTTGGAGACAGGACACAACCCACTGGTGAAATCTGAACTGGTTTGCTATCAGCTGTGCCGCACGATTTAGCTTCACTATAAAGTAGGATGTCCCGCTTTCTAGCAAAGCTAAACCCTGCGGAACAGCTGATCGTTGGAAATATCAGTTCGGAGGAACCAGTAGCTTTTTTAAACTACTGGTTCGGCTGAACTGGTAGTTTTCATCACTACCGGTTTGCCCGAACTGGAGCGAACTGGTAGTATTTCACCCCTGACACAACCCTGTTAGAGGCCAAGGCTCTCCTCTCTGCCGGAGGGCCCTCCATCCTTCCAAGTCAGTGCCTAACTTCACAGAGTCCTCCCTTTGTCCGCCCTTTGGCTCTGAAATCTCAGCCAGCCACTGCGCTAGAACCCTCTATTGGCTCAATTTCACCTTCGGGCATCTGCTCCTGCTACTGGGGAAGTCAGGTAGGAAGCATCCAGGCAGGGGCCACAATGAGATCCAGGGCAAGGAAAGGCCTCTGACAGCAGCCCGAGGGGTTTGGAGCCTGAGATTTGAGCACAGGTCCCGAGTGTCCCATTTTACTCCCAGGCTGGTGATGCTCTTTGGACCTGGCATGCGCTCTCGTCTCGTGCCCACAGATTGGCACTTGGACCTGGCAAGGACTGCAAAGTAGGCCAGGAAACAGCACCCTCCACCCCCAGCTCTGCAGGGACACTGGAAGCAAAAACAGAAGGAGACACACACACCTTTGCCATCCTGTGAAGACGAGGGCTACAAAAGAAAAAAGAATCGGCTTCAGAGACTGGCAGGTTAGATCCAGTCTCTTCCCCTGTCCCTGTGCTTATCTAACAGGGGCAATTGTTTTTGCCCAAACTCTCCCACACTAAAAATGCAGGCAATGACCTTGGATTTCCTGCTTGAAAAGCAGGTATTCCGTTTGGGGGATTTGTTTAGTAAACTATGAACCTATTTCTGATCTATCATCATCCTCTTTTAACAACCCCATAATCCCTTGCAGGGTGGAGTCTGGGCAATCGAATGGAGCTAGCAAGAGTGTTTATTGGCCGGATGCCTTTCCTGTTGCCAATGCGGAGTTTTGTTCAGCAGATATATTCTCATTGTACCGAGAGAGAAATATCTGCCTCTACCTTGGTGGTGCAGCGGACTAAGTGCTGTTAAGCGCTAGCACTTAGCTGCCAGCTGCCTGCAATTAGTGCGAGTTCAAATCTCGCCAGACTCAAGGTTGACTCAGCCTTCCATCCTTTCGAGGTAGGTAAATTGAGGACCCGGATTGTGGGGGCAATAAGCCAGTTTTGTATAGAACAACAAGGCTTGGGGGCAGGGGGGGGCGAAAGCCCTAATAAGCAGGTATATACAAAAAAGTGTGCAGGCTATTGCTATAATGCATTGTAAGCCACCCTGAGTCTACGGAGAAGGGCGGCATATAAATTGGACTAATAAATAAATAAATAAATAATACCTAGGATCAAACTCACAGCCTCCTAATTGTGAGGCAAGAGCTTCACCTCTAGCCCACCGCACCACTCTACCTATTTCTGATCTATGATTTCTGGAAAAATCTATCCACCCTAATTGATGTGAAGGACTTCTAACAAGAAGAAAAGCCCCCAAGGATGAAGGTGAGCAGGGATTCCAGCTCTCCATGGCTTCTCCGTTAACAATGATCTTGCCCTGCCCGTCCTCCTCCTCCTTCTCCCCCCTTGGTCTTAAAGAAGAGACGCAAAGGAGGCCAGACCTGCTTGCTGTTGCCCACAGGCGCAACGATGGCCTTCAGCAGCTCCGGCTGCCGAGATTTCCTTCTCTGAATCACCTTCATGCAGCCGTCCACGTCGATATGAAGGAGCTGAGAGAAACAGAGTGAGGGGTCAGTCTCTGGGCGAGGCGAAAGGCATCATGGGAAAAGCATGTCTGTGCAGCCAATGTTAGTGTAAAATTGGAGGTGCTGACCCTTTAAGAGCTGTATGCAAGGACATTTCATTTTTAATGAATGCCAACATTCAAAGTAATAAAGTTTTTCTAGTCTATATTCTATTTTCTATTATTCTAATTTCTAATATTCTGTTTTCTTTCTTTTTCTATTTCTATTTCTATTCTATTATTTCTATTTCTATTATTTCTATTTCTATTTCTATTATTTCTATTTCTATTTCTATTTCTGTTCTGTTCAGTTTTATTTCTATTCTATTCCACTTTCTATTCCATTTTCTATTGTCCTCTTCAGAGAATTCAGAGGCTTTGAATCTGGATCAAAAAAATAGATGAGCCAAATACCCCAGATAAGCCAGGATCAGGGTGGAAATTGAGGCCCAGTTGTGCGAAGATACGAATTCCCATGCTGGACAATCCCAGCAAATCTGGATGGAGCTCCTCTGGAGACTTTTGACTTCCTGCCCCTCCTGAACTGAGACAGCCTGGTTTCCCCCCCCCCCCCAAATCTCCCCAAGGATGCCTGACTGGAGGCCACTTGGCTGCAGCCCTGGAGAGGCGCAGGGGCTGGCGATCTTCACCTGAATCAGGAACGTGAACAGAGGTGTGCTTGTGAGGTGGGCTGTCTGCAGCTGCCTGAAGATCATGTCCGCTGGAAGGAGAAAGAGAAAGAGGCTCTCAAACCCTTTGCATTCTTTTTCCTCTCGGTGCTTCGGAGAATAGCTTGACTCCCTCTTCTTTGTGGCAGCCCCTCAAATATTGGAAGACTGCTATTGTGTCACCCCTAGTCCTTTTCATTTAACTAGACATAATTCCTATTTCTGCCCTCATCACATGAGCCACGGTGGCGCAGTGGTTAGAGTGCAGTACTGCAGGCTCCTTCTGCTGACTGCCGGCTGCCTGCAATTTGGCAGTTCGAATCTCACCAGGCTCAAGGTTGACTCAGCCTTCTGTCCTTCCGAGGTTGATAATATGAGGACCCAGATTGTTGGGGGCAAGAGGCTGACTCTGTAAAACCGCTTAGAGAAGGCTGTAAAGCACTGTGAAGCGGTACATAAGTCTAAGAGCTATTGTTATTGTCCGTCCTTCCTTCCTTCCTTCCTTCCTTCCTTCCTTCCTCCCTCCCTTCCTCCCTCTCCCATAAGTCTGCCCTCTGCCAGCAGTTCAATCCTGACTGGCTCAAGGTTGACTCAGCCTTCTGTCCTTCCGAGGTGGGTCAAATGAGGACCCAGATTGTTGGGGGCAAGAGGCTGACTCTGTAAACCGCTTAGAGAGGGCTGGAAAGCATTGAAAAGCGGTATATACCGTGTTTCCCCGAAAATAAGACCCTGTCTTATATTTTCTTGAACCCTGAAATAAGCGCTTGGTCTTATTGCCATGTGCTCAAAAGCCCGATTGGGTTTATTATCAGGGGCTGTCTTATTTTGGGGGAAACAGGGTAAGTCTAAGTGTTATTGCTATCCTGCCCTCCCGAGGGGCCTCTTCCTAACGCGGTCCAAGAATGGAGCCAGAGAGTCTCAAGAGCTGTCCTGCAGGGATATTTTCATGGGGATTTCTGCACCGAGGACGACACTGGACTTGATGGCGTTACGACCCTCTCTAAATTGACCCTTCGAGGCTTCCTTAACGCGAGGCTGCTTCTTGGATCGCAGGTACCTTTTGACTTGCGGGAAGCCTCCTCCTTCATCCGGAGGGCCCACTCCTGCACCATGTTCCCAGCCCAGGGCGTGACTGCCACCATCAATCTCCGGTAGAGGGTCGTCTTCCTTATCCCGTCCTTCTGCCGGCCAGCTCCATTCGTCAGAGTGGCCAGCGGGGCCAACTGGGAACCTCTGGGGCCAACAGAGGAGCTGGAAGCAAAGCGTTTCTTTCTTCTGATTTCCCGCTGGGAAGGACAAAGAATAAGACATGTTTATGCACGGAGGATTCATCCGCTGAACGTCTGGCCTTAGGAGGACCTCATTCCCGGGACCTTGAGGTACGAAGACATACATCTCCCTCAAGCCATCCAGCTGAATACGTCTTCCAGCCCTTCCTTTCATAAGCAAATCCCATTTTAAATCTGGTGCCCCAAAGCCTATCCCAGAAGTCAGCAACCTGTGGCTCTGGAGCCGCATGTGGCTCTTTCATCCCTCGCTGTGGCTCCCTGACGCAGGTCAGCACCATAATTTTGAGAGGAGCTTCCGGTTGGGGTGGGGGAAGGAAGGCGTGCCAGGACGAGACTCTATGGCGAGGGACAGGTTTTCCGGTCAGCTCCACAATTGATAGTGCTTTCAGTTAGGACTGGTAGAGGGAAAATGACGCTGCGCTAGGAGGTGACTCTATGGTGGAGGAACCAGACTTCCGGTCGGCTCCAGAATTGAATGAGGGGCTTCCGGTTAGGACATTATTGGCTCTTTTGAGTGTTTAAGGTTGCCGACCAGTGGTGGGTTCCTCCCGGTTTGGTCCGGTTCGGCCGAGCCGGTAGCGGTGACGATATGACGTCACCGAACCGGTTCTCCCCCCCCGCCCCCCGCCCACATTATTCTTATCTTTTATTTGGTCCCACCCCCAATCTATTGCTGCCTCCTGAGTCCCAGCTGATGACTAGAGAGAAAAAAACTGTTTAAACTCTTGCTTCAAAGGGCCGTCCTACAGCTGATCAGTGTTAAAAGCAAACAAATGTGTCGGGTCGTAAGTGCGAGGACTGGTCGTGTGAGGACCTTCCAGAAATGACTCTGACCAGCTAGCCACGCCCACCTAGTCACATGATCTCCAAGCCACACCCACAAAATAAGCCACGCCCACAGAACCGGTAGTAAAAAAATTTTGAACCCACCCCTGTTGCCGACCCCTGGCCTGCCCTATATCCCAAACCCATTTATAGAGGGTGAGGGAGGAGAAACCTTCCTACAAGCCCTTGGAGTCCTCCACTGGAAACAGATGTACAGGAAGTCCTTGGTGTATGACTGTAAAGGAGCCTGACCATTACGGTCATATGTTGCGATAACTGTAAAACCGGCCAGTTGCATAATTTTACGATTCTCCCAAAGGGGCTTTTTCAAGAGGCAACTGGACTTCCTTGGTTTTTCTTTTGAAGACGTTTCGCTTCTCATCCAAGAAGCTTCTTCAGCTCTGACTGGATGATGGTGGGGAATGGAAGGATTTATCCTCCTTGCAGACAGCTGGTCATTTGCATCCTTTTTCCCAAGCCTCCCCTCCCCCCAAAAAGGATGCAAATGACCAGCTGTCTGCAAGGAGTATAAATCCTTCCATTCCCCCACCATCATCCAGTCAGAGCTGAAGAAGCTTCTTGGATGAGAAGCGAAACGTCTTCAAAGAAAAAAACCAAGGAAGTCCAGTTGCCTCCTGAAAAATGCACCTTTGGGACAACCATGACCTGGATGACTGAGAAGCTTCACAAACATGATTTTACAATGTTTTTGAAGCACTTGTTAAGCAAAGGCTGTGGTTCTGAGGTAAACCAATAATTCACTTATGGGGGTAATTTTACCAAAACCAGAAGTGCTGATTTACAGCCAAGGAGTGGAAAAAGTGGTCACATGACCATGGGACATTGCAAACGGCCACAAGTGTGGCCGAAGTTCAGCCACGTGACTGCACTTTGGGGCTCAGTGGTCATAACTTCAGACCCTCAAGCCCAGCCAGTTGCAACTTCAAACAGTCGCTAAGCTAGCGGTCGTAAGTCAAGGAATACTTATACTTCAATAAACAGAAGCGACAGGCAGACTTGAAAGGTCCCAGATCCGAGTTTTTGGGCACAGGGGAACCCCGCATCATCTCCCTCCTTGAAAAGTGGGGTGCTGTGAATGTTTTAACAGCGGCTAGAATTGTATTTGCTAAAAACTGGAAAAAGGAGGAAATACCTACGGAAGACGGAGTTATCAAGAAAATTATGGAATGTGCTGAAATGAGTAAATTGACATTTGAAATGAGAGAACAGGAAGACAAACAATATTATATGATATGGGATTTATTTTATCAATGGCTAGATAATAAAGCATGGAAATGAAATATGAAATAAATGTAATAATAAAATACATGAAGTGGTTTTTTATGGGAGATAAGCCATTGTTAAATAATTGTTAAATGAGAATAATAATATAAAGGGATATAATAAATGGTCAAATAAGAGAAATTAAATAACCTGTAAATTTTGGATATGGGATCAAGCACAAAAGAATTGTAACCGATCGATATGCTTTCTGTACTTGTAATGGATGATGGTTGTTTTATGTTTTGTTTTGTTTAAAAAATAAAAAAAAATTCAAAAAAAAAGAAAAGAAAAGAAAAGTGGGGTGCTCGGAGGAAGCTTACCTTTCTCCTCTGCTGCTCATAGCTGTTCCTCCTCAGGACACTTTTCACATAAGCCAAGGAAACCCTCCACGCATCCCTCGCCTTCCCAGAATTCTGCAGAAAAGGAGGAAGAAGGGGGGAAAAAAGAACAAAACACAACCGAACGAGAATTCATACTTCAATTTTTAAACAAGAATTATATCCTTAATCCAACGGAGTTCAACTTGTTCTTAACAGAAGGCTTTATATAAGAATTATATAAAGGACCCAGATTGTGGGGCCAATAAGCTGACTTTGTATAAATATACAAAAGTATGAAGGCTATTGCTTAATGCATTGTAAGCTGTCCTGAGTCTCCGGAGAAGGGCGGCATATAAATTAAAGCAAAAAAAAAAAAATCCCCTTGAGGGTAGCTCAGAAACAGAGGTGGTATTCAGCCGGTTCGGGAGAAGCGGTAGAGGCGATCGGGTGCAATCCCGTCCTATATTGCTGTGGTTTTGACGCCACCCACATGGACGGATGGCACACGCGAGCAAGTTGCCGTGTTGTTTGACATCACACGCATGTATAGATGGCGTGCAAGAGAGAATTGCTGTGTTTTGTGACGCACTCATATTTCCGGTGCTGGATGAACCGGTTGCTATAGTATTCGAATCCCACCTCTGGTCAGAAACTCTACATTTTTATTTCTTTTCACATGAAAGTCAAAGGCAGCTAAGACCACCCTCCCAAGTGCTGCGTAATAGTTTTCACTGCGGCATCAAACGGTTCGGTTAGGCAGGGAGGTGTAAAGTCTGTGGTTCTCAGGCCAGGAAGTTTTGGGAAATATCACTCTTCCTTTTTTTTGCACATACTTCCAACTACCTGGTAAATTTTGGAGATCGTGGACGGGTGGGATTTGCCCTCAGAAGTGCTGGATGGGTTCCTGAACCCTCTCGTGAGACCTGCCTGCCTTTTATTCTTCTAAAATTCAGGACAGAAAGTGGAATTTGGACACTGGAGCTGGATTGCTGAAGTTCCCAGCCTGAACTATGTCACAGGAGTTGAACTTGCCCCCCAATGCTGATTTAGAACTACAATTAAAATCCCAAATTTGGGGAACCAAGAAACATTTCAGTTCCTCCTCAATCAAAACTTCAATTTGTATGCTTGCTTTAAAGCAGGGGTGAAATGTAAAATTTGTTACTACCGGTTCTCTGGGCGTGGCTTGGTGGGGGGGTAATGTGACTGGCTGGGCGTGGCCAACTTAAAAAGAAAAAACTTTTCAAAGCATTTTTTCTGCAACCTCTTTTTTTGCAGAAAAAATGCTTTGAAAAGCCTCTCTGACGATGAGACAACTCAGCTGGGATCGTCAGAGAGGCTTTTAAAGGCATTTTTTTCCTACAACTGCTTCAGCCGAAGAGGTTGCAGAAAAAAATGCTTTGAAAAGCCTCTGACGATCCCAGCTGAGCCGCGCGATCATCAGAAGCTTTTTTTTTTAACTTTTAAAAGCATTTTTTCGGCGGAAGAGATTGTAGAAAAAATGCTTTTAAAAGTTAAAAAAAAAAAGCCTCTGATGATCGTGTGGCTCAGCTGGGCATGGAGGGGGAGGGGGGCAGGGATTTTTGCTACCGGTTCTCTGAACCACCCGCCGCCATCGCTACCGGATCAGGCGATCCGGTCCGAACCGGGAGCATTTCACCCCTGCTTTAAAGGCAAAGATAAAAGCTTCCCCTGTCCAGTCATATCCAACTCATCCCTGTTTCTCAGCCGAGGGAGCCAGTGTTGTCCAAAGACACTTCCGTGCTCATGCAGCCCGCATGACTATTCACCAAGGCAAACAGAATGCGGGTACCTATTTATCTGCTTGCATTTGCATGCTAGATGGTTAGAAGCTGGAGCAAGTAATGGGAGCTCACCCTGTCGCATGGCACTCGGGTCTCAAACCTGGGCTGTCGATTTTCCAGCCAACGAGCCCAGCGTCTTAACTGCTGAGCCGTCATGCCCCATCCTTGTTTTAGGTTTCATATAAAAGCGAGGAAGCTGACCAGACTTTCTACCTCTGCTGTTCGGACTTCCATCCCAAACCAAGGATCAGAATGTTTTTCAGCCCAAACCCCAACTAGACCTTCAGAAAGGAGGAAAAGAGGACTACGGTCCTTTTTGCTGAATTAACTCACAATTAACTCAGTGAGTTACGGGCCGATGAGGATGGACGACTCCTCATAGTCATATTTTAATAGTAATTTTAGGATTTTCCCTTCTGCAAAAATGATAATTCAATGGCAATGCTAGAAGGTCTCTGGGAACCACATTCAACATCGGAAAAGGTCACCCAAAGCTGGGATTTTAGGTACCGTACATCTCGTGTGTGTGTATGTGCCTTTTTTTTTACCTCGTTCCCTTTCATTTGAGCCAATTCTGGAGTCTCTGGGGTGAGGGCAACGAAATCTTCTGCCCTCTGTCCCTCTTCTGGACCCAGCAGAGCCCCAGAGTCCAGCCTCCGCTTCCTGTTGACATCAAAACCTTTGGAAAGCAGAGTGACAGCCGGCAGCTCTCCAGGGTTGGCTTCAGACAGATCTTTCCTGGCAGGGACCCAGAGATCCAGGCTGGGAACTCTCCAGCGACCGGCCCCTTTGGGCCGATGGGCCTTGGGCCTCTCGTCCTTCTCCTCAGCACCGTCCACATCCAAATCCAGGTCTGAATATTCACTGCTGGACTCCGAGGGGCTGGAGCTCCATCGGTGGACACGTCTGCACCTTGGATGACGTTTGCTTCCTTGTTTCTTCCTCCTGTACCTCTTTAACACAAAGGAGAGAGGGAGAGCTGCAACACAGAGCAAGGGACTCTGGGAGGCTCTGTGTGTGTGTGTGTGTGTGTGTGTGTGTGTGTGTGTGTGTTACCACAACACCAGCATTATCCTTTCCTTCTAAAGCAGCGGCATCAAATTCAATTTCATTGAGGGCTGCATCAGGGCTGTCAGATCCCTAAAAGTGATACTGCCATTCAATCGGAGGAGGGGGACACTTGGATTCTATTCCCTAGCATTGCCTGTGTCAACAGAGATTTTACAACCTATATCCTGGCGCCAAAGAGCCCTGAGATCCCCTTTACCTGCAGGGATTTTTAGGATAGCCATGTGGGTTGTCTCACTTTAAAGGATAATGGTGGGAATACATGTTTGTTCAGATTCTCAGAGAAACTAGTAAAGGAAACATCTTCAAACTTGTGTATTGGCTGAAATCTGCATTCAGACTTAAAGGGAGGGGTCTCTACCACTTTAATCCTACTGCCTTGCCTAAGGGTATTCAGATCTTGCTTTACCTGGATGGCTCTCACTTCTGCTTAATAAAAGAATCCTTTTGAACAACCACCTTTCAAGAGTTCTCACTTTCTTAAGTAGGAAGGAGAGGCGATCCTTACAAGGGCTGTGGTTGACCTCCCAGGGGGTTGGGGGGGCTGGGCAGGCGTGGCCAGTCACTGGGTGTGGCCAGCAGAGTGGGTGTGGCCAGTTTGCAGCCACTCCCCAAATTGCTGGCAAGTTTCCTCTTTACATTGAGTAGACCGGGTCAAAGCGATGTGGGTCGGCCCCTGACATTTTCTAGGATGCCCCTGCAGGATGGATCTGACCACATCGCGGGCCTGCAGGCCTTGAGTTTGACACCTTGAGTTTAAGCATCTTACAAGGGCAGAAAGTACAGGTAGTCCTCCAGTTACGACCACAATCGAGCCCCAAATTTAAGTTGCTAAGCGAAAGATTGGTTAAGTGAGTTTGCCCCATTTTACCGTTGTTTCACGGTAAACCGTTGTTAAAGTGAATCATTGCCTGTGTTGTTAGTAACATGGTCGTTAAATGAATCTGGCTTCTCCGCTGACTTTGCTTGTCAAAAGATTGCAGAAAGGGATCATGGGACCCCGGGACACTGCAACGGTCATAAATATGAACCAGTGTTTGAGTGTCTTTTTATCACGTGGCCATGAGGACCTTGCAATGGTCGTAAGGGTGAAAAACGGCCCTATGTCACTTTTTCTCAGTGCCGTCGTAACTTTGAGTGGGTCACTAAGTGAACTGTTGTTAAGTTGAGGACTACCTGTAGCATTTCTTGGGATGTCTTTCCCACTGCAAAATCTCTCCTGTTTTAACAGGGCACAACCAGCCCAGCTTCAGCCTTTTGTGTGTCAGACCCAATCCTCAGCGCGACGGCGTCAAAGCGGCCTTCCTTAGATCTGGGTGGGACCCACAGGAGCAGGACCTGCCCCATAAAGATAGGGTGGCGGCCTGTCAGCTGCTGTAGAGGTAGGTCAAAGGTCGTAGTGCCAAGCTAAGAGCAACACGCTGCCTTAGCTCATGCCTATCATCTCATTTTGGCTCTGATCTGTATTATCTCATCTCACCTAGAGAGGATGGCATCTTGGGGGGTGGTGGTGAATAGTTTGTCCAATTAGAACACTGTTGCTGTCCTGCCTTTTTATCTGCCTGTGTAAAACTGTATAAAAAGTAAAGCTCTCTGCGAGAGCGGGAGAGACATCTTTGATCAGAGCAAAAGCCTGGACCTCTGATTTACAACAGGCCGCTGGACCCTCCAGCACCTGAATCAGAGGAGGCGGAGAAGGGGGAGGCGTGGGGGTGAGGGTCAGCATCAAGGCAACCTGAGAGCTCCGAGGGGGAAAAGGGAATGGAGCTGGCAGAGAGAGAGAGAGGGAGGGAGGGAGGGAGGGAGGGAGGGGGAGAGAGAGGGAGGGGGAGAGAGAGAGAGGCGGAGCCTGGGCTGTCCGTCAGCCCTCCGATGGAGAGTCAACAGCCCCCAGGTCTGGAGGTGGCTGATGAGGAAGAGGAGGAACAGCTGGGTCCAGTGCCTAATGCTTGGCTGTGTAGAAGGCAGAGGAGAGGAGAGCAGTGGAAATCCATGGGCCAGTCCTTGGGACGGAAGAATCAGCGTTGCTAGCGAAGCCCCACCCTAGCTCTGGGGATAAAAGGCAGGGGGTGGAGATGAATAGGTGTGTCAGACAACTATTCATCTCTCCTCCTGGACAGACTTGTTAGTCTGCATTGAGAGAAAAACTTTTTGCCGGGGCTGCTGGCGTTCCTAATAAAGGAATCTTCAGAGGATTCTGTTGTGTTTGGGGACAAAACAGATCAGAACAGATAGGCATTCTCAAAAAAAAAAAAAAAATCACGTAAGGAAGAGCTGAAACTCACTCGATACCCCAGCAAGATTTTCCACTTGCTCAGACACTGAGATCCGGAGCGGTGGGGCAACTCTGAGGCTATTTTTGCCCAGTGGCCTAAAGAGAGAGAGAGAGAGAGGACAAAGGAGTCACTTCCTCCCCTGACTTCCTGGAACTAAAATAATCTATAAATACAGGGCAGGCTTGTCTATGGAGCTTCTCCGTCATCCAGGTCATGGTTGTCCCAAAGGTGCTTTTTCAAGAGGCAACCGGACTTCCGTGGTTTTTCTTTGAAGACGTTTCGCTTCTCATCCAAGAAGCTTCTCCAGCTCTACTTCTCTCAGAGCTGAAGATGCTTCTCGGATGAGAAGCGAAACGTCTTCAAAGAAAAAACCAGAAAGTCCAGTTGCCTATTGAAAAAAAGCACCTTTGGGATAGGGCAGTCTCTCTGAAGGCTACTCTCAGAAATCAGCCTGCCTTTCTTGCAGCAAAAGGGCTAAGAAAACTTGAGAAGCCATCCAATACGGATGATGATGTCCATAAATGCAAGACAAGCCTCGATTTTCAAAGCGCCGGTTGCAGAAGCCCTTAGCCAGCTTTCTGCTACCCGTGTAAAAATCAAAACAATGGAAAGTGCATCAGGTTTTAGAATGGAATAGAGCTGGAAGGGACCTTGGAGGTCATCTAGTCCAACCCCCAACCTTTCTGATTGACAAGCTCAGCGGCCAGCCAGAGGTGGCATTTGCTGGTTCTCTGAACTATTCAAAATTTCCGCTACCGGTTCTCCAGAGCCTGTCCGAACCTGCTGAATTTCACCCCTGCTCTAGGGCCTGCTGAACCTCCCTCCCCGCCCCCCGAACAGGGCAAAGGCACAGGCCTCAAGCTTCTCCCCAAACCCCAGTCTTGGTCAGGAAAGCCCCCCCTCCCTTACCCCTGCCGTATTTTTCAGTCAGCTCAATCAGTTTCTTTTCCTCCTCTTCGCTCCATTTCCCCTTCTTTATGTCATAGTGCAAGGAATGCAAGTACCTGCAATCATAGGTGGAGAGGAAAGAAAAGGTATTACTCAACCCCATTCATTTAACAACCGTCAGAAAGTTCCTCCTCATTTCCAGGCTGAATTTCTCCTTCACCAGTTTCCATCCATTGTTCCTTGTCTGGCCTTCGGGTGCTTTGGAGAATAGCTTGGCCCCAGGTGTGGCCAAATATTTTTTTAAAAAAAACTTTTAAAAGCATTTTTTCTACAACCTCTTCGGCCGAAGAGGTTGTAGGGAAAAAAAATGCTTTTAAAAGGCTCTGACGATCCCAGCTGAGTTGCCTGATCGTCAGAGGCTTTTGTTTTCTTTTAAAAGCATTTTTTTTTCTTTTAAAAGAAAAAAAAAAGCCTCTGACGATCAGGCAACTCAGCTGGGATCGTCAGAGCCTTTTAAAAGCATTTTTTCGGCAGAAGAAAAAATGTTTTTAAAAGTAAAAAAAAAAAGCTTCTGATGATCGCGCAGCTCAGCTGGGCATGGGGGGGAGGCAGGGACTTTTGCTACCAGTTCTCCGAACCACCCGCCACCATCGCTACCGGATCGGGTGATCCAGTCCGAACCGGGAGCATTTCACCCGCTTGATCCCTTCCTCTCTCTGTGGCAGCCCCTCAGGTATTGGATGTAACACAGGGCAGGCAGAGTAGCAACCCTCCAACAGCCAAAGTGCTCAGGTGGGACCTACCTGTCTCGACACTGCAGATCGTTCCTGCCAGGCACTTCCGCCCGGATTTTATACCAGTCCCGCTCTCCGTACTTTTCCACGGCCTTCAGGAGTAACTGGAAGAATAAGGCAAAAGGGGGAGGGGGGGGGCAGGTGAATGTGTGCTGCCGGCGGAGGAAGAGAGGTGGTCCTGCCCTCCTTCAAACAGCAGCAACTGAGGGAATCAAAAGGGAGCTTGGGCAAAAATACACAGTTGGCTAGAAAAGATATCAGGGAAACATGTACTGTATTTTTCGGAGTTTAAGACACACCTTAGCTTTTTGGGAGGAAAATAAGAAAAAAGCTGATTGGCGGGTGGATCGGCCTTCCGGATTACCCCCAATCAGCTGTTCTCAAAGGTGAATTTTAGCAACAGGTTCCTTGGTTGTGAGCTCTGTGCCTTGCTTTTTTTTTTTTTTTTGCCTCTGAAACTTCTGAAACTGTTTCAGAAAAAACTTTTTTTCCTGCCTCTGGAAGCCTCCGAAACAGAGCTTCAGAAAAAAAGCCTCTGAAACATCCTTTCAGAGGCTTTTTTTCTGAAGCTCTGTTTGGAGGCTTTTTTCTAAAGCTTTGTTTCTGAGACTTTTTTTCTGAAGCTTCATTTCTGAGGCTTTTTTCAGCCTCTGAAACCTCCGTTTGAGAGGCTAGGCAGGGCTACATTCGGAGTATAAGACACACCCAGATTTTCACCCTCTTTTTGGGGGGGGGAAAGGGGCATCATATACTCCAAAAAATACAGTAGATTTTAAAAACCTGAATTGTTTGTATTAGGGATGATAACAGAAAAATTTGATAAGAAAAGTATCTATTTAATATTACATGTCTTAACAGCAGCAAGGATTATCTTCACACAATATTGGAAAGATGAAGGAACACCTCAAGGTGAAGAGATAATTAAGAAGATACTAGACTGTGCAGAAATGGATAGAGATTGAAAATCAAGCAGAAAGAAGACATGGAATATTATCAAACATGGAACTTATTTTACCAGTGGTTGGAAAAATGGGGTGGAGGTTAAGAATGTAGTATGTATTGTTAAGCAAATTAAATACTCAGACAACACAATGTTTATTAAACACTAAGAAATGTAATTAATAGAAAATTAATAAAATTTATTAAAGAAAGAAAGAAAGAAAAGGGAGCTGGTGGAGATGCCCACATAGTGCTACAGAGCAATTTTCCCAGGGGAGTTAGCCGACAGGTGTTTGTTGAGCGTCCCTACGGAAAAGGGCCCTTACTTACAGCATCCTCCTTTGGCGTCCAGGCGCCTCGCTTTAAGTTGGGGTCCACTCGCTTGGTCCATCGGTAGATCAGCTGGGCAGAGTCCCTCCCCTCCATGTAGTATGCCACTGTGGAACACGCAACAGTTGGAGTCAGCATTTTGCTGGACCAGAAAATCTCTGTGGCTTGATCGTCGCTTATGTGCAGCACTGGAGCAGCTGCTTTGCTCCCTCCCGCAGAAGAGGGCTTCCCCGCCTTACCTGAGCCAGGCGCCTCTCAAGATCAGCTGCTCCAACATCTCAAGCCTGGGCACCTAAACTCCTCGCATCTTTGGCTTTCAAATACCCACCGGGGACATTTTGGAAGGATATACAAGAATCTAGACCGGTGTTTCCCAATTTTAGCCATGTGAAGATGTGTAGACTTCAGCTCCCAAAATTCCCCAACCAACTTGGCTTCTTGGGGAATTCTGGGACCTGGAAGTCCACACTTCTGGGAGGGAGAGACTGGAATGTGTATTCCAGACGATAACAAGAAACAGTCTCATGGGAACCAAGGACATACCAGCAGGTGTCTGCCAGAGTCGTGGAGATTTTCCCATAACACCTGGACACCTAATTGGACAATGTGACCTGCACTGATGAAGGGAGGGAGGATTCTATACTTTAATTATACTGAACTGTCCGGGAATTAGCCAGAGCTGGTTTTGCTTTCATTCTGTGCCAAAATGATGTACTTTAATAAAGTTTTGCATTATTTATTTATTTATTTTATCAAATTTATATGCTGTCCTTCTCCCGTAGGACTCGGGGCGGCTCACAGAATAGAAACAACATAACAATAAAATAGTGCTAAAACAAGCCAATTTAAAATCCCCAGACAATTAAAACCTCGTGGCAGATCAGGGAATTTGCTGAAAAAGCCATGTCTTCAGGTCGGCACGGAAAATGCAGAGGTCAGGGGCCATCCGGAGGCTGGTGGGTAACCCATTCCAGAGGGTCGGTGCGACCACAGAGAACGCCCTCATCCTGGGGGCCGCCAGCCGACATTGTCTGGCCGATGGCACCCAGAGGAGAGCAGTCCTATGTGAGCGCACTGGGCGGTGGGAGGCTAGTAGGAGGTGGTCTTGCAAGTACCCCGGGCTCATGCCATGAAGGGCTTTATAGGTAAGTACCAGCACCTTGAAGCGGATCCGAAGAGCCACCGGCAGCCAGTGCAGCTCGCGCAGGAAAGGTGTTACACGGGAGTAATGGGAAGCTCCCGTAACAACCCGCGCAGCCGCATTCTGGGCCAGCTGGAGCCTCCAGGTGCACCCCAAGGGCAGCCCCATGTAGAGGGCATTGCAGTAATCCAGCCGAGAAATAATGAGAGCATGAGTGACTGTACGGAGGGCATCCCTGTCTAGGAAAGGGCGCAACTGGTGCACCAGGCGAACCTGTGCAAAAGCCCCCCTGGTCACGGCCGTCAGATGATCCACCAAGGACAGCCGTGAATCAAGGAGGACGCCAAGATTACGAACCCTTTCAGAGGGAGTAAGCAATTCCCCCCCCCCATCCGAAGTGATGGGGATACTAGATCATGAGATGCCGGTATCCACAGCCACTCAGTCTTGGAGGGGTTGAGTCTGAGCCTGTTCCTGCCCATCCAGACCCATTAAGTGCTTGCTTGGTTGGGTTTGTCAACCAAGGGAACCTTGACAGCGGGTGCTACAATCAGGATCCTCTCCTGGGGAGGTGGCTTACTTTTCCGGTAAGGAATGTGATTCCCAACTCGCATTTCCTGCACGAGCTGCCTGAGCATCTGGTCTTCTTCGGGGCTCCATTCGCTCCGTTTGAAATCTTTATTGTAGGACTGGAACTTCTGGAGGCACTGAAAGGCTGTGCGCTGCGTCTGGGGAAGGAGTAGAAGCAGCGGGTTGGGTGGGGAATGGCAGGCCAGAAAGGGGGAGAAATGGGGAAGGTAGAGGAGGTCAGAGCTGCTGCGCACGTGTGCATTTATTTCATTGGTTCACATGGACACCGGCGCGCGCTCATATTTGCGAACCGGTAGGGAAGGTAAGTGAATCCCACCTCTGCCCCCAGTCCTCGAGTTTGACACCCCTGTTCTAACGCATCCTGGCTAGAGTCGCTGGCTTTACCCCCAGCTCTTGGGCGACTGCTTCCCAATGCAGACCGCCGTGCCGGATAGCGATTTCCTTCAGCTTCTCGATCTCCTCCTCGCTCCATTCCTTCTTGTTGATGTTGGGATGCTCACAATTTTGCCAGTATTTCCTCAGCTCTTTGGCGTTGCGTGTTCCTTCAAACTAGGGAGGATGCAAGATGGAATAAATGGTCATCAATTTACATTTACAGGGGAAATTTCATTTCCAGGCTAAATTTCGCTCCACTGTTCCCGCAGAAGATTTTGGAGGCACAAGGAAGAGCGACTGGGGTGGACTCACATTGATGTTGGCAATCTTGTCCCAGTCATGCTCGTCATGTCTGTTTCCCAGCAAAGCTTCTTCTGGCAACACACTACATCCAGAGGAAACACAGCCTTTCAGGTTTCTAGGTCGTCTCAAATAAATTGCATTTCAAACAAAGTCTTTGAAGAAAACCTCCCATTTATGAAGCACGACATTCTAACTCTGACTCCATCGCAGCCAACACTGACTTCCAGACCCAAAACCCTCCCTTTCTGTTCCCCACTCCCCTGCACTCATTGGCCATCTTCCAAGTCATTCTACCCCTAATCTACTGCTCCAGCTCAGAGGAATTTCCCCCTCCCATCCCATCTCCTAGGGGATATTATCTCCAGGGAAAATAAGTAGGTGAAAAGTCAAACGTCCCTTTCCAGACGCCTCCGCTTCTCCTTCTTATGTCAGAACTAGAGTAAATGCAGCTTGAAGTGCCGACACAACCGTAGTTAGAAAAGCATTTATGCTGTTTTCTTTAAGCAGCCACTTGGGAGAAGGCAGATTTTTGCAGTCGTCTCCCCTCGTCTTAAATGTTGCTGCACCAGTTTCAGCTCCGTTTTGCTTATTAACCTACGGACAGTCCATGACTTACAGTCGCTTAGCTACTGCAGGTCAAAGTTAGAACAGACCTACCTTGGCTTGTGACCTGGATTCGAATTTCTGACACAAGTTCGGCCACATGAGCCGAACTTCGATCCCCTGCAACGCGGCCACAATCACAGCCATTTGCAGGGTCCTGCGGTCAGGGGTGGGCTTCAAAAATGTTAGCACGGGGTTCTCTGCCTGGTTGCTGGGTGGGCGTGGCCATGGTGGGCGTGGCCTAGTCAGCCTCCTGCACCATGGCTGGGGAGGGGAGGCTTTTTGCTCTCCCCAGGCTCTGGAGGTTTTTCTCAAGCCTCCAGAAGGGCAAAAATGGCCTCCCCAGGCTCCAGAGGCCTGAAATGGAGCCATTTTTGGCTTTCCTAAACTTTGGGAAGGCCCATTTTTCGCCCTCCCCAAGCTTCCGCACACACCCTGCACTTACCAGCATCCAAAACGGGCCGCAGTTGGGGCAGAGTGGGCAGGGAGGGGCCAGCCAGGAGTAGGTTTTTGGGGGTTCTCCGAACTGCACAGAACATTAGCTAGAGGTTCTCCCGAATCCCTGCGAACCCCCAGCAGCCTACCCCTGCCTGCACTAACATGGCCGTGTTTTACAACTGGTAAACTGGTAGTGGCGGCTGCTGGAGGCTCCGCCCACCTGCCCGGACATAATCACATCCTGTTTTTGACGCTCGGCGGATGCGCGGAAGGACCGCGTGCGCTCACATTTGCAAACCAGTAAGTGAATACTACCTCTGGCTCTCGCTCACATCTGTTTCAGGGACACAAGCAGTCAATAGAAGACGACCTTTGCCATTTTGGAGTTCGAGCTGCGAGTCTTACTTGATTTCACTTATTTCACGTTCTGTTTCCTGGATCTGCTTCGCCAAGATCTGCTTTTCCATCTCATCTTTAGATTTCTCTCGTTTTTCATTCAGATAATCCACCCTGTTGAAACAATGAGAAGAGATCTATGCAGACACACACACAAAAAAAACCAGAGATGGGAACAACTCCCTGCAACAAGCTGGACGATATGAGCGGCCTCGTCCTTTCGCATTTTTCCAGTCGTACTACGAAATTATCTCAAGAGGTACAGCCTTGGGGGCAGGACTCAAGCGTGCCCAGGCCAATTCTAGAGGCGCCTTAATTTGTGTCTTGAACAGCTTGGAGAACAGGAAACATTTACCTGAAGCTTTAAAGCCGGATAATCTATGCAGCAACGAAGAAACAAAGATTTTCACCCCAAGGCTGAAAAATTCTCACCCTCCAAAGTATAAGCGATGGCATTGTATAAATCTCCCTCTTAATTCAGGGGTGTCAAACTCGATTTCATTGAGGGCTGCATCAGAGTTGTATTTGAGGTCGGGGGGGGCTGGGGTGGGTGTGGCCAGAGTGGGTGTGGCCAGCTTGACATCACTCATGTCTGAGGTGCCTGTGATGGCCCAAGAGCTCTGCCAGTCAAAACAGGCTCTCAAGCTCCATTTTCAGCTGCGACAGCCTCCTGCAACCCTCTGCCAGCGAAAACAGAGCTGGGAGGGCTCCGTTTTCGCTGGCAGAGGCACTGCGGCCTGGTCCTTCACTGTTTCCAGAGAGGCCCTGTGGGCCAGATCCAGCCCCTGGGTCTTGAGTTTGACACCCCTGTGCTATGGGAAAAACCTCGTCCCAGAAGAATGCCCTGAAATGGGAACATGCTTTGGGAATTCCCTAGGGGCCACTTAGATCCCAAGGATGGCACCTCAACTGACGGGACCTTAGGTGGCCCCAACACACAAGCCGAGCTAAAATGGGTTTGCGTGCCTTGTGGTTCAGCATCCGGTGAGTGTTGTGGCTCTGTTACCAGAGCCTGTGTCATCGGCAGGAGAGGACTCCGAGAGTGAAGGAGAGGAGTTGGCAAAGCCTCCCTCTCCAGGACCCTCCTCTCTGGCAATGCCTTCGGTGTCCGCCGAAGGGCAAGAGATAGGGCTGGGGCCAAGCACGTCCACGCAGCCACAGGTGGACAGTGATGAGAGTAATGAGTCTTGGCTGGATCCACGCCAGCGTCGCAGAGATAAGCGCGCACAACAGAAGAAAAGGCGTGCCCGAGATTAGGCTGAGTCACTGGACCACACCCCACAGGGTATAAAAGGGAGCGTGGTGGCTAGTCAAACCTTGGGACGAACAAAGCTGAAAGCTTCCATGCCATTCTGCATTGCCGGACTTTTTGCTATAGACTTTGCTGGATTATCTCTGGACTTGATTGACTCCGTAATTATTGAGCTGTTTCTTTTGATGTACCAGGAGTGGGGAGAAGTTATCTCTCCTCTTCGTAAATAATAAACTCTTGGCAGGCCGCCACTAGGTTGTTGCCAAGTTCCGTTATCATAAGGAAAAGGATTTTGCCGGCTGGTTTGGTCTTTAACTCTTGAACGTCTGTTGGTGTGTGTGCGTGTGGTTGGGGACAGAACAGTGAGAAGCATTCCGTGGCAGATATGGGGAACGCATTATCTGGGTGTGATGTTACGAAAAGCCCAAATTGATGGAGAAGAAAGTGTGGATTGTTCCAGTCGACGGGACTACAAGGGTTTTTTTTGCCCCCCTCCTGTTTCTTACCAGAAGCCAAGGGAACTTACTTGAGCAGCTTTGGCTGCAGCAGATGCTGTAAGCGGTCACTCACGACGGCCTGTTGCAGCAGCAACTTCTCCCGGCTCTTCCCTGGGGAAGGAGAGATCAGGGTCAGGGTTCAGGAAAGTGGCATTCAACGCTCAATGGATCAAACTCAGGATGGAATTCTCAGTCTGGGGGAGGCAGGGGGTGGGGGAGGCTAGCTTTGAATGTTGTGAATTCCTTGTCAGGGAAAGAGGTAGCCCAGTCTCCCGGCCAGGACTTCACAGGCAGTTTGCAAGGGAATCAAGGAATAGCAATAATAATAATAATAATAATAATAATAATAATAATAATAATAATAAAATAATAACAATAATAATAATTTTATTTCTATACCGCCCTTCTCCCGAAGGACTCAGGGCGGTGTACAGCCAATTTAAAAACACAAGACACAACAATAATTAATAATTAAAATAAAATTAAAATAGCACTTAAGACTTATATATTGCTTCACGGTGCTTTTACAGCCCTCTCTAAGCAGTTTACAGAGTCAGCCTCTTGCCCCCAACAATCTGGGTCCTCATTTTACCGACCTCAGAAGGATGGAAGCCTGAGTCGATCCTGAGCCAGTGAGAATCAAACGGCTGGCAGCAGGCAGAATTAACCTGCAATACTGCATTCTAACCACCACACCATAGATGGATGGATGGATGGATGGATGGATGGATGGATGGAAGGAAGGAAGGAAGGGCAATAGCACTTGGACTTGTATACCGCTTCATAGTGCTTTTACAGCCCTCTTTAAGCGGTTAAACAGAATCAGCCTATGGCCCCCAACTATCTGGGTCCTCATTTTAGTGACTTCGGAAGGATGGAAGGCTGAGTCAACCTTGAGCCGATGAGAATCGAACTGTTGGCAGCAGGCAGAATTAGCCGGGCAATGTAATGAATTGTATGAACATGTAAAAGCAAGATAGAAAGAATTGTAGTAAGAAAAATGGGGAGAAAGGAAGCACAAAATGAATTAATATAAACGTACAAAATTTGGAAAGGACGTCTTAACAAATTAAATGAAAATATAAAGATGTGATAGAAATACAGTAAGAGGATGGAGGAAGAAGTAGAGGACACAAAATATGTACTCAGATGACACACTGAATGATTAACGATGCGTTGTTTGTTTAAAAAAATAATAATAAACTTTTTTTTTTAAAAAAAGAATTAGCCTGCAATACTGCATTCTAACCACTGAGCCACTACGGCTCTTAATCCCTGTGCAAAGCACTTGGAGGCAATGTATAGGTAATCCTCAATTTAAAACTGTTTGTTTAGTGACTGTTCAAAGTTACAGTGTGTTCTGCCCCAGCTACGGACCCCAAAGAACGCAGCACACACAAAGTCTAAACAAAGCTTATTTTGCTCAAGTAACTCAGTCTTTTGCAAACACAGGCTTGTTAATAAATTTTCTTAACAGCCTGCAAGAATCCACAGATAAGGTAATCGCAGTCCTTACTAGGGTTGGCAGAAAACCCAGAAGCAATGTTGCAGAGAATCCAAACGCGAAGGAGAGCAAACTAAAGTTGTTCCCTACAGCTTGCTGCAATCAGCGTTCCTCCTTAAATAGGCTAAGGGAGTGGCCAATTAGCCCCAAGCCTTACTCTCAAGGAGACCTCCTCCTGAGGAGCCACTCCTGCATTTTGGCAGCTCTGCATGCCTGTGCATTCAAAAGAGGATCCTCCTCTTCGTCCTCTTCACTTAAAGGAGCTTCTGGAGCTTCTGAAGGCCCTGGCTGAATCCCTGCCTCTGGCACCACATCTTCTCCAGCCTCCTCACTGTCCGACTCAAGCGCCAGCTGCACAGGCTGCTGGCGCAGCACTACACCAGCCTCCTCGTCGGAATCAACTACAATCCGCGCAGGCTGCTGGCGGGCCACAACACAGTGGCGCTACAAAATGTAACTTAAAACTGGTCCTTGCACTTCCATCCCCAGTCACGTTATCTGTGTTCAGATGCTTGGCAGCCAGCATACATTTACCATGGTTACAACATGCTAGGGTCATCCGTGAGGAGCTACATCCTCTTCCCCAACAAATGGTCCCCTTTACCGTAGCCTCTTACATTTGATAGTGACCAGCTCCTCGAAAGACTTGATGCCTTGCCTCGCCTTTTCTCGAGTGTCGTCGTTGGCAGGAGGGCCCTGGGGACGAAATCCGACATTTTTATTGCACTTCCCGTTTCAATCCCTGCCATAAGACAACTGCCTTCCCTGGGGACTTCTGGAACGAAGGGGAGACTCTGCTCAAGGGATTTCAGGAAAAGCATATTGAGATCGCAGGAGAGAGACAGCCGAATTCTGTCAGGAGGGACATCTGGCTGAAATCTTTCTCCCTGCCTTGACAATAACTGAGCACTACCACATGGAAACAACAGTGTTGTGGCTCCGTTACCTGAGCCTGTGTTATTGGAGGGAGAAGGCTCCGAACATGAAGGAGAGGAGTTGGCCAGGCCTCCCTCTCCAGGACCCTCCTCTCTGGCAAAGCCTCAGGTGTCTCCCAAAGGAGAAGAGATTTGTCAGGAGCCAGGTATCTCCTCGCAGTCGGACAGTGACGGAGATAAGTCTTGGCTGGATCCACGCCAGCGTCGAAGAGACAGGCGCACTCAGCAGAAGAGGAGGCATGCCAGAGATTAGGCTGAGTCACTGGACCTCACCCCACAGGGGATATAAGGGGGTGAGGTGGCCATTCAGACTCTGTGACGGACAAAACAAACTACTAGTGAGTCACATTGTATCTTTGAAACAACGTTATCTGCCTTGGATTTAATATGGACTGGACTTGACAATTCTTGAACTGTGTGTATCTTGTTTGGGTTTATCTGTCGGAGGAACAACCCCTCCCTCTGAGTAAAGTTCTTGGCAAGCAGCTACTGGGTTGCTGCCAAGCCTCTTATCGGAAGAATTTGTTGTCTGCCAGTTTTATTTAACCCTTGGCTATCTGTTTGTGTATGTGTGTGAGATGGGGACAGAACAAACAGAGAATAACAACAACAAAGCTGACATTCATATGAAGGGAAAAGCAAACCAGGGAAATTAGAAATTGCTAAGGTCTATAATATGCGCAGTTCCATTTGGCAGGCACACTCTGAGGCTGGGAAGCCTGCATAGCGCGGGCGAGTGGGAGCCCTGATAACACCAACCCGGACATGCAACCACCTGCCTGGCCCACCGTCTGGTTGCTCATGGCTGCAACAGGACAGGCAAAGCAGGTGGCAGGGTGTGGGTGCAGGCCGTGGGGCAGCTCCACTCCCCCCCCCCCATCCAATGGTGAGTTGCTCCTGGTTCGCACTGGTTCGCAAGAACCGATAGTAAAAATTTGTAGTAGTTCCGAGAAATGGTAATAACATTGGCTGGCCACGCCTCCGAACCGTTCCCCAGCCCAGTCGCCGCTCGCCTACCCTGCCCACATCATCAGAGGTTTTTAAAATTATTTTTAAAAGCATTTTTTCTACAACCTCTTCGGCCGAAAAAGTGCTTTTAAAAGTTTTTTTAAAAAAGCCTCTGATGATCGTGTGGCTCAGCTGGGATCGTCAGAGGCTTTTCAAAGCATTTTTTCTACAACCTCTTCAGCCGAAGAGGTTGTAGGAAAAAAAATGCTTTGAAAAGCCTCTGTCAATCCCAGCTGAGTTGCCTGATCGGCAGAGGCTTTTCAAAGCATTGTTTTCTGCAACCCCTTAAGGTTGTAGAAAAAATGCTTTTAAAAGTTTTTTTTAAAAAAATTGGCCACGCCCACTGTCACATTACCCACCAAGCCACACCCACAAAATAAGCCACGCCCACAGAACCGGTAGTAAAAAAATTTAGAACCCACCCCTGCCCCCATCTGCCTCGCCTCACATCATGGCGCCTGCCCTGTTGCAGCCACGAGCAACCAGGTGGCGGGATGGAGTGAGCAGGCTCTTAACTGGGGCTTATTTTTGGGGTAGGGCTTTAGGCGTATGCTAAAGATATGCTAGGGCTTATTTTCTGGTTGGGTCTATTTTCAGAGGAACACGGTAGAGAGCCGTAGCCTGGGGGTTGGGGACCCCTGATTTGCAAGACCTGGTTACCTGAGGGACTACCTGTCTCCCATTATATCTGCCTAGCCACTCTGATTTTGCAGGGTGGGCGTGCTCTGTATTCCTACAATTGTTTTCTATTTGGACCCTGCTCTACAGCAGCACCTGCCCTCTAGAATGAGTTTTCCATCCCGAGGTCCCAACAGCCCTCACTGTTGTTTAGCAGAGCTGTGAAGACCTGAGTCTTTTCCCAGGCCTTGGCCGAGTGAGAGGGACACCCCTCCCTTTAATCACACTTGCCCTCTTTTCTTTTTTATGACCTGATTGTAATTTGATCACTATGAACCCCGCAGAGATTTTCGGGGCCAGGCAGCATCTGAGTTGAATAAGTTACCATTGCAATTATACTTACAAACCCTGATGTTTTGTCCTTAAAGTACGGTTTCATAAAATGGCCCAAAAACATATTTGCTGGCAAGGATTTCCCATCGCTCGATTTCATGCCTTTTGTTCCGGCCAGCTCCCAGGTGAGTTTTTCCTGCAGGACATTCATACACAGAAGGCGCCCATGAAGCCAGAATTGTGGGCAACTACATCCCAGAATTGAGATAAACAGTAACAAGAGTTGGAAGGGACCTTGGAGGTCATCTAGTCCAACCCCCTTCTCACACAGGAGACCTTTACTAGGGATTCGAACCGCTGAACTGCCGACCTTTCTGATCGACAAGCTCAGTGTCTTAGCCACCGAGCCACCTAGCCAGTATAATGAAGTCAGTCAGAGGAAGGCATCCCACCATCCAATTATTCAGACAGTTCAGCTGAGTGAACATCCTTACAAAATTCTCCTTGCTTCTAGCAGGGCTGGGAAAAAATGCAGGCCAGGAAGCCAAAATGCAAGCCAAAGATAAGGTTTCTGGAAACCGCCTGCCAACAGACTACAGTTCTTGTTGCTTAGCGAGCCCTCCCCAGACTCCAGGACTGGCCCATGATCCTCCCCAACATCCTCACTATCCGAGTCTGCTACCAGCTCCGCTGGCGGGCCACAACAGAAAAAGGGAGGGGGGAATTCACAACAGGATGAATTATTCGAGCAGCCCTGTTTTTCTAATTATCTTTATTCTCATTTCAATTTCTTATTCAATTATTATTTAATTTTATTACATCATTTGTGTAGATCTTTATGATATCTCACTTTTTTCCCTTTTACTCCCCCCTCCCACTTTAGATTGAACTGAAAAGGGAAACAACAGGAGAGGGAGGGAGGAGTAGAGAGAGAGGAAAGGAGAAGAGAAGAGAGAAGAGGAGATGAGAAAGAAGAAAGGGAAAAGGAGAGGAAGAAAAGGGAGGGGATAGAGGAGCAGAGGAGAAGGCTAGAAGGCGGGAAGAGAAGGGGAAGTAGGAAAGGGAAGGAGAGGAAGAATGAAGGAAGGAGGAGAAGAGAGAGGAAGGAAGAGAAGGGGAGGAGAAGAAGAAAGGGAAAAGGAGAGGAAGAAAAGGGAGGGGAAAGAGGAGCAGAGAAGGTTAGAAGGGGGGAAGATGAGAGGAGTGGGGGAAGAGAAGGGGAAGTAGGAAAGAAAAGGAGAGGAAGAACGAAGGAAGGAGGAGAAGAGAGAGGAAGGAAGAGAAGGGGAGGAGAAGAAGAAAGGTTGGAGTAAAGGTAAAGGGTAAAAGAGCAGCCCCGAAAAAGTAAAAATGAAAAATGAAAGTTAAAAGAAAAGATGAATGAAAAATGATGGAAATGACTGTACATGTAAATGTGTTTGAGAAATAAAAATAAAAACTTTAAATAGGAGAAAAAAGGATGAATTATAATGTGTGTTTGTGTGGGAGGAGGGGTGGACTTGTATGCTGAAGATCACACCACATGTCCTCTACAGCTATTAGACGCTCTGATCCCCATTAACCTGTGAAATGGGCAAACTGTGACAACTCCTCTGAGAAAGCGGAGAGTCTCAAAGGAGACGAAGCTTTTCCACCCTGTTCCCGAGGTCCCTGCAGCTTCACTCACCTGTTGCTTTTTATTTTGGGCAAGGAGAGTGTTGATCTCCTCAATCTTCTCCTGGATCACTTCCTGATAAACCAGGTTCATCTGGAGGCAGGTTTCTGGGGTTTGGGGTAGGTTGACTTCCTCCTCATCTTCCTCGCTGTCACCTTTCTCCCCGCCTGGGTCCACCTCCTGATACAGAAGAAGGGATTAAAGCTAGAAAATCATTGTTCCTGAAAACAAGAAACTCCTCTCAATAAAAATGTTAAGTTCAAGGGCTGCAGGATTGGGGAAAAAAAGAACATTATGTTACTACAGCTTCATTTCTTTTTTCCATCTTTTGCTATTGAATAGAGTAGAGTAGAGCAGAGCAGAGCAGAGCAGAGCAGAGCAGAGCAGAGCAGAGCAGAACAGAACAGAACAGAACAGAACAGAACAGAATAGAATAGAATAGAATAGAATAGAATAGAATAGAATAGAATAGAATTCTTTATTGGCCAAGTGCGATTGGACACACAAGGAATTAGTCTTTGGTGTATATGCTCTCAGTGTACATAAGGAGAATAACATACATTCATCAAGAATAAAAAGATACAACACTTAGTGATAGTCAAGGTTACTAATAAGCTATAGAATTGTTATAGGAAACAAATAACAATATAAATTGAAAGAGACAAGAAATATGGTTATAGTAATAAGTGGAAAGAAATAGATACTACTAAGGAAGAGAAGAATAATAGTAATACAGTCTTAGTAAATTATTTTGAGAGTTATTTAAATGCTAGGTATTATTTCTCTTTAATCATTAGAATCCAGGGAGTTTAACTACGGGTTATTTAGCTGTGTTATAAGTGTAATTTAAGAGTGAGTTGCATAGTTTTAAAGTCCTGTTATGAGTGGAAAGCATGCAAATTGGCTGTATCCAACATTGGCTGTACATTTAAAATCTTGAATATTAATATGAGAGGCCAACATGGGTTGCAAAAGGCGGCTAAATCAATTCTGCTTTCTCCCAATTTCTAGCCATTGCATTGCTTCCTTCTTTTTAATCATTCCTGTATTTCTATAAAGATGGATGTTAGAAAGGAAAACATGCCCAGTAGTGCAATGATATTCAAAGGCATCCCCTCCCAAGGCAGAATTCCAGCTTGGTTACTTGCCATGTCAAGTTGAGTATCAGATTCATCCTCTTCCAGGTCATCTGAGGAGAGAAGATATAAATGTATGTGAGAGAAACAGTTTAATTATTTATTAAATTTATATGCATCCCATCTGGCAGTTCGAGACAACTTTGGGCGACTTGGAACGTAAAGACTTCAAAAGATCACTTGGAAACAAGGGGCTACTTAGGACTGCGTTGCTGAGACAGCACAGCATATGGTGATCAGGAAGCCCATTTTACACATAATTTACAAGTGATCTTTACGATAACAGTTCTCTCATTTTTGTAATAATTAACAGTGTTGTGAGTTTCTGCTAATTTCCACCAGGACCCATCACATTTTTCTCTCTTGTGGTGTTTTACAATATCATTTAAGCACTGTGCACATCTTGTAAAAGCACAAGGCAAATCTTTAGCACAAGAATGCGGTTTATAATACCCAAGGCCCTGCTTCTAGTTTTAGTTATTTCTTGGCTCTCTTCCCCACCAAACTGGGGTCCAGCCACTGGAGACTTGTGATAAAAAAAGATATGAAAAGGCAAGATGGAGATGTTTTCCACCAGGCCGCACCTTCCTCTTCAGAGCCAGATTCCAAACTGGAGTCCAGCACTCCAATCCCATTTGATGGAATGACTGGGCCCAAACTCCTCTCCAGCTCTTCGATCTCCTGCCTGATTTTTTCTCGTTCCGCCTCGAGTTCCATTGCTGAGGTGCCTGTAAACAAGACAGAAAAGTCAAAGAATAGAATAGGAATGGATAGGAATAAGAATAGGAGTAGAATAGAAATAGGAATAGAATAGAGAATAGAACACAGAACACAGAATAAATAGAATTAGAACAGAACAGAATATACAATAGAATTAGAACAGAATGCAGAATGGGATGGGAAGGGACAGAACAGAATAGAACTTTCTCACTTTATATGTACCATAATCAGCATACATTAAAATGAAATGTTGTTGCATTCAGCTCTCAAAGGATAACCATTATGCATAGAACCACATAAGCACAATATAGGACACAGAGAAACATAGTACACACAGTCTAGTATGCAGAGACATGTTGAAAAAAAAGAATCCTGCGAATTTTACAAGATGGATAGCATAAGGAACAAAGCTGTTACAGAATCTAGTAATCTTACTTCGAAACCTCCTGCCAGAGGGGAGCAACAGAAACAGACAGTAAAGTGCAGAGGTGGGCTTCATCAGGTTCTGACCAGTTCTGGAGAACCGGTAGCAGAAATTTTGAGTAGTTCGGAGAACCGGTAGTAAAAATTCTGACTGGCCACGCCCACATCTATTCTCTGCCTCCCAAATCCCAGCTGATCGGGGGAGGGGGGGAAGAATGGGAATTTTGCAGTAACCTTCCCCTGGATTGAGGTGGGAATGGAGATTTTACAGTATCCTTCCCCTGGAGTGGGGTGGGAATGGAGATTTTACAGTATCCTTCCCCTGCCATGCCCAAGTCATGCCCACCAAGCCATGCCAGGCCCACCACGCCACGCCCCCAGAACAGGTAGTAAAAAAAAATTGGTAAAGTGGGTGCGTGGGGTCTCTAACAATGCTTTGAGCTCTAAGCACATAGAGTTTACAAGCAGCATCCTGAATAACGGGGAAACAAGCTTCCTATAATCTTCTCCGCTGTCCTCACCACTCTCTGTAGGGGCTTTCTATCTGCCACCAAAGGAGACAGGGATGCAGTTTGTTAAAACGCTCTCCCATCAGAAGGAGAAAGAGGTTCTCTCCTCATCCTGCGCAGGGAAGGCAGACTCTGGTTTGCACAAAAGATAACATCCGAAGCCAGGACTATGAAAAAAAAGGGCCACGACTCATTTCTTTTATGTATTTTATTTATTCAATTTTGTCCACTGTCCAAAGGGATTCTGGGCGGCTCCTCAGAGCAGCCCGTGCTGTATTTTTTTACGACCGATTTTATTGCCCTTCGCAGGTGCTTCTGACACGTATCAGCGCCACACGCAAAATAAAAGCCCCCTCCGAACGTGTGGATGGGAAAGGGACCCTCGGGAGGGGCGGGGAGGGGGTTTCTCCCCCCGCTTCTTCCATCCCCGGGTCTCCTGCGTTCACACGACACGTTCATAAAGCACAGCTAATCTAGCCGTGGCTTCCCGCGGGCCTAGCTGCCGGGCGCCGCTCCCTCGGGCCGAAAGACGCTGAGGTTGCCCCAGCCTGACCGACGACGCGGGTCTCACCTGTTCGAAGCCGCTACGGCTGGAAGAGTGCTTGAAACCCTCGGCCGGAAGCGCGGGAGGAGGGGGAACATGCCGGGTGACGGACCAGGAAGTGACGTCACGCACAGGCTTAATGAAACCGGAATGACAACCATTTTTCCCCCCAACTGAGAAAGCCACACCTACTTGGGGGTGTGTCCAACGATCGCATAGGCTCCGCCCTCTTTGCCCACGCGTCGGCCAATGCGGCGTTCGCTTTCTTTTCCCGCCGCGAAGCGTCGTCCAATAGCGGCGCACAACGCGAGGGAGAGCGCGTGCGCTACGAACACGTGATGCGCTGGGAACAGCCAATCAGGAGGAAAAGAAACAGAAAGTGGGGGGGAGTGTTGCTACGTGTGGCGGTAGCCAATGAACGGAGAGGACGCAATCCGCCCGGCGGGCTTTCAGAAGGAGCCGCTCAGTCCGCGCGATCTCCCGCGGCAGACGGACGTGGTTCCCTTTACGTGCCGTGGAAGAGACAGAACTGTCACGTAGAGGCTCCCCGTTCAACGGCAACCCTTTTCGGCCTCATTAGACGATGTGGAGCGAACCGGCCTACCCCGCAGGGTTGTTAGGGAGAAAATAGGAGCGCTGCCTCTGAATGGAAGCAAACTAAAACAAGCCACGGCTTGTTCAATCGTGGCTTGTGGAGGGACCCAAGAGAACCATTATTATGACAGCCATTATTATCTAGGCTTGAAATCCTAATATTTGCATTTAATGGGATTGAGCAAAGCCAAGAGAGGGATCCCAAAATGCCACTAGGAGGTCAGAGTATTAAAATAGATGAAACGGGAGAAATGAAATGAGTTAGTTGATAGACTTCTTTTTGTGTGTGTGTGTACTGTATTAATGTATATGTACGTGTTTTTACATGTATTTACGTTGTATGTTTGTTTAAAAATAAAAAACTTAAAAATAAAATAAAATAGATTAAACGGGAGAAATGACACCTGTGTGATTTTCGGTAAAAGCTATGCAGTGCCAAGATTTGAGAAAATACTGGGGTTTAACGCTGTTTTCCTTTGATGAACTTGGGGCCAATTTTAATAGGTGGCTGAATCCTTCAAGTTGTCTGTGAGATTATCATTCAGTGTTTTGGAAGTCAAAACACTCTGCACAACTAACCTTAACTGGAGCTGGATGCATTATTTTAATTAGTAACCTTTTAAGAAAATTATTTCTTAAAGGATATTAATTAAAGTAATGCATCCAGCATCCATTACTTTAATTAATATCCTTTAAGAAATAATTTTATTAAAAGGATGCTAATTAAAATAATGCATCCAGCACCAGTATCCTTTAAGAAAATTATTTCTTCAAAGACTTAATCCCAAGATTAGGAGCCTGGTGGTGCAGTGGACTAAACTACTGTTAAAGTAGTATTTAACTGCCAGCTGCCTGCAATTACTGCGAGTTCAATTCTCACCAGGCTCAAGGTTGACTCAGCCTTCCATCCTTCTGAAGTAGGTAAAATGAGGACCCGGTTTGTGGGGGCAATAAGCTGACTTTGTATAAAAAAGAACACCGCTTGGGGGGGGGGCAAAAGCCCTACTAAGCAGGTATATACAAAAGTATGAAGACTAATTGCTTAACGCATTGTAAGCCGCCCTGAGTCTCCGGAGAAGGGCGGCATATAAATCAAACTAATAAATAAAATAAATGTTTGTTTTATGTTTATGTTTTATTAGATTTATATACCGCCCCAGAAGACATAAATAATGTCTTTAGCACTTCTCAGTGGGTGGCCATGAAAGCCTTGGTTGGCTTAATTCGTTTTCGATCAATTTCCTTCTGTGACTGGTTCATCCATATATACACTACTTTCAAAATGCTCCAATCATCGTAAAACAGCTTCATTAGCACTACTAAACACTACTATGAACTGGAAAAGAGGTGCATTTTATATCTATATATCTATACATTGTATCAAATTTATATTTACTGATAAAGAAATAAAGGGAGACTAGTATAGATCTATTTCAAGCTATTTAGCTCTCATCAGCTAGCCATACCTTTACTCGGATTCGATACATATGTATCATATTTATGAGGCTGCCCAATCTTACAAAAATGGGATTCTGGGCAGTATATAAGTCTTCCAGAACCAATCCTTAAAGAGGAGGCATTTGCTTACGGGCCTGGTTTTCACCATGATTGAAAAAAACAAAAAACAAAATATAAAATAAAAGCCCAAACCAAACTCCATACTTGCAGTTTCATTTTAATTTAAAAAATAATACTATTACAAAACCCGGAGAAATTAAAAAGCTTCCAGAACTGTATATTCAGAAAGTTAAATCTTGGATACCTTGCTATGCAAAAGCAATAAAAGGTTTTATTGCACCTGTACAACAGCTGGCTTTCCAAAAAATAAATGTGATTTCTATCAAGAAGACAGTTTTAGTAATAATACCTGTCTTCTCGAGGACATCTCTGACTGGCACCCATTGTTAAATAAGAAATATATTCCTGACTAGACTTTTAAAGCAATCTCTAAATGAGCAGCCAAACAGTGAAGTGCGAAAATATTTAGTTATCTCTGCACATTATGAAATGCGTTCCATTGATCAATCCAGATGTAGTAACTCAGAGCTGCAACCACCTTAACAGTCTCAGAAGTTAAACAGCGCAAAAAATCCAGCTTCCAATCTTTGTTTTCTCCAAGAATGAGAGGTAATAAGATTCTCAGGGGGTTCCTTGTGATGGTATCTCAGACATTTTGTCTAGCGACCTCAGAAGGTCAGCCACAAGCTGCAGCTCTTCTGCACCAGAAACCAGCTGCCTAGAAAGAACACAAGATGGAAATAAGCACAATGGTGACAATTATGTTGCTGCCTGCAGGGACTCTGGCAGACCCAATTTTAAATAGGCTAATTTAATGTAAAACTCCATGTTTCCCACCTCCCCAAAAAATCCTAAGGAAACAAAAAACCCCATCTCTATCCTCTTTGAGGTCACAACTCTACCCTCTTGGCATCACAGGCCCAACCTCCATGGAGCAAGCATCCCTCCAAATATGAGCCACTACAACAAGGGCGTCGAACTGGCAGCCTGCGGGCCAGATGTGTCGCACACAGGCCACGCCCACCTCAGCTCCGCAAAGGCAAAAACCGTCACGATATGTCACGTGACACAATCGAGTTTGACACCCATGCACTGCAAGGTTTTCTGCTCTGACTTTGTTTTCCAGACATTTTGGATACTACCAAGATTAAAAATTTGGGAATTCAAATGTCTGGTTCAGGATAAAGGTTACCAATCTGTACACCCCTATATAAATAAATGCACCTGAATGATACTTTAGCAGCTGGGGCAGCTGAAGCCAAAATCAATTAAGCTGGAAAACAATGGTTTGTAAAGCCCACATTATTCTTCCCTAGCTATAAAGAATGAACTTTTATGTTATAATCGATGTAATTCAGAATTACTACCCAGCGCTGGGTAGCTACCACACTGAAGCCAAAGGGCAGAACTTATCCTTGCTATATTTAGCACGTTAGAAGTGTTTTGAAGACACTAAAAAAAAAAAAAAAGTAGGAATTAACATACCAACACCTGGGAAAGGCTGCTCACACTATTTTGCTATTTAGCAGTTTGTTTAAACTCCAGGGTCATTTTTAAAAAGGCATCCATTGGAACAGAAAGGTTTATTATTTATTTATATAAATAAATAAACTTTTATTATTTTTATTATTATTTTTTATTAACCTTTTATTATTTTCATAAACAATTCAAGGTGGGGAACATATTTAATTACTCCTTCTTACAACAACAAACCCTGTGAGGTGACTTAGGCCGAGAAAGGGAGCGGCCCAAGCTCACCCAACTAGCTTTTATGGCTAAAGTGGGATATAACCTTTCTGGATCGGGACGCCTTGCACACGGTCACTCATGCCCTAGTCACCTCCCGTATGGACTACTGTAATGCTCTCTACATGGGGTCCCCTTGAAAAGCACCCGGAGGCTCCAACTGGTCCAGAATGTAGCCGCGCAGGTGATTATGGGCGCAGCTCGTTGCGCCCATGTAACACCTCTCCTACGCGAGCTGCACTGGCTCCCGATGGTCTTCCGGGTGCGATTCAAGGTGTTAGTTATCACCTTTAAAGCGCTCCATGGCTTAGGACCTGGGTACCTACGAGACCGTCTTTTGCCACCAATAGCCTCCCACCGACCAGTTCGTTCTCACTGGGAGAGACTACCCGGTACCGTCAGTCAAATTATGCCGACTGGCGACTCCCAGGGGGAGGGCCTTCTCTGTGAGGGCTCCAACCCTTTGGAATGAAGTGCCCCCAGAGATACGGAATATCCCCAACTTTCGTGCTTTCTGCCGTGCCCTCAAGACCCTGATGTTCCAACAGGCGGGGCTAAACATGTGAATGATTTTTAAAATGTTATCTAATTCTGGGTTTTTATTTAATTGGGCCAAACATTGTAATAATTTTAATGAGCAATTTTATGATGTTTGTGTATCTATATTTTTCTTGACTGTACACCGCCTTGAGTCCTACGGGAGAAAGGCGGTATAGAAATATAACAAACAAACAAACAAACAAACAAACAAACAAACAAACAAATAAATAAATATACTACAAACCCTCAAATTGGCTAGTGCCATATGCGCCACTGAGTTCTAACCAGGATTGCTTTGCTTTAAGCCAACTATGGCTTGCTAAACAAAACTTTGTATGAATTCAGTGTTTTTATCTGCTTCACCCTACTCAAGACTTACTTGATGGATGATTTAGATCTCGTTATCACAGCGAGGAGATTCTGCAAGGCAACATCTGCATTTTGCTTGACTGCAGTCAGGTTTTCCTGATGGGCAGACTTCAAGGTTTTGTTCTCCGATTTGTAGCTTTCCATCTGAACCTTCGTGTAAGCAGAGAAGCATTTATTACTTCCCAAACATTGCTTTTACAGTCCCTGTGGTTTTCAAAGCGTGACATGAGCTAAGGGTGTTTCTGGCAGAACCTTCAAGGCCCAAGGAAAACCTCTAAGGTTTACTTCCAAGTAGGTTTGCATAGGATCAGCTCACTTCACTATATTATTTATTTTAGAAAGCCCCTTAAGAAAAAGCTTTTACAGGAAACAAGTTGCTTTGCAGAGCGTACCCTTTCTACCTCACTGACTTTTCAAATAGGAACTATTTGTCCTTACAAGGCCTGTAGCAAGCAGGTTTTCCCATCAGCATCGAGTCAAAATCGTCTTAGAACTCAGAGCCACAGCCAGCTAGTATCACAATTCCAGAAACTGGTGCAAGCTGCTAGTTTTAGCTCCCTAGCTGGCTTGGGAAGAAACAGGGCAGAAGGGAGCAGTCAGAGGCCGTCTGTCTATACAACTGTGCATTTGACCCTCAGAAGGTCTATGCAAGCAAGGATAATCTACTTCGGAGACTACTCACTGGTGGGACTCTGCACAATTTACGAAATCTACGTTTGACAGCTCCGATACAGGTGGTTCTCAACTTGCAACCAGCTTCTTAATGACTGTTCAAATTTATGATGGTCACAGAAGAAAGAAACCCCCTGGCCATTGTAAATGCCACCCTGTGATTGTAAATCAGGTGCCTTGCATCGACTTTACAACCAGTTGCAGTGTCCCACAGTTACAGTGTGAATGCAATTCGTGATGGTTTTTTTGCCAGTTTTCCAGCACAAAATGCCATTTGAATGAAGAGATTCACTGAATAACCACAGTGTTCACCGGAAAGCAGAGTTCACTTAAGAAGTGCCACCCAAAAAAAAAAGTTAGAAAAACAGACACATAGAAGGCTTGACTTACGACCAGATTTCCGGTTCCAAATTCAGTTGTAAGTCAAGGACCATCTGGATTTTAACTCCCCAAGCTCTTTCAGAATTTTTCTATCTGCCCCGTTGGTGTTATTTTTCTATCTGCCCCGTTGGCATTATGTACCTGAAGGTGCATGTTTTCCTGCTTCAGCTTAATGGCACTGTTTTCTGCTTTCACGGCCCGTTTCTGGAACACAAAGCAGAGAAAGGTTTATTTGAGGAGCTGCGGGCAAACACGATCCACAGTTCTTAACACCAGGAGAGAAGGAATATAGGGGCACGCAAAGAGTGGATGGCTCTCATAGCCTATTAATTCTGGCGGGAGGATGAGAGAAGCACCCTGTTGTGGCTCCGATCCCCGAGCCCATCTTATCGGAGGAAGAAGGCTCCGAACATGAAGGAGAGGAGTCGGCCAGGCCTCCCTCTCCAGGCCCCTCCTCTCTGGCAATGCCTCAGGTGTCTGCCGAGGGAGAGGAGATTGACCAGGAGCCAGGTGTCTCCGATGACAGCGATGAGGGTGATAAGTTGTTCCTGGATCCACGCCAACGAAGGCGAGATAAACGTTTGCAGCAGATGAGGAGGCGTGCCAGGGATTAAGCTGAGTCACTGGACTACACCCCACAGGCTATATAAGAGAGTGTGGTGGCCATTTAGACTCTGTGACGGACAAAGCTAACTTCTGGCTAGTCACTTTGTACAACACCAAATCTGCTGAAGGTTTCATGTTTGAGCTGGACTGTTTTGAAAACTGTGTGTATTCGTTGGTGTTATCTGGTGGAGGAACGCTCCCTCTTCTTGTAGTAAAGCACTTGGCAGACGGTTATTGTATTGCTGCCAAGTTCCTGATAACGAACCTTGTGTATGCCGAGTACTTCTTTAACCCCCGGCTGGCTGTTTGTGTGTGTGTGGGGACGGGGACAGAACACACCCATAGCTCTCAGACCCCCAGAACGAGACGAGCTCAGCTACCACCTTACCCAGATTCACAGGAGAGGGCTGGTTCCCACAGCGCCCCAGACCCACCGTCATTAACTGGAGATTCTCTTCCACCTGCTGCACCATGGCCTCCAACTCACGAGCCTCCTTCTCCTCTTTCCGTTTGCTCTTCTCCAAAGTCCTTTCCAGATGCCTTATTCTGGTTGAGAGAAGGAATGAGTCCACACCTTGAGCTCCAGCCCTCAGCTTAGTCTCGTGAGTTCTGCCCTCTGCTGCCTCCCGGGAACACGAGATAAGCCAGGATGCCTTTTAAAGCAGGCTTGCTGTTTTAACACCAGATAAGCTTTCTAAGATGTATAAAGGGATGTCAAATGAATGTTGGAAGTGTAAAAATAAAGAAGGGACTTTTTATTATTTATGGTGGATATGTGATAAAGCAAAAAGGAATATGGTTCACACTTGATAATACAGAAAATCCTGCACATGGAGATAGAAATGAAACCAGGATTTTTCCTTTTGGGACTAATGGAAAAAGAACCGGAGAAAAAAAATTGGAACTTAGTTACTATATATGTTGACAGCAGCAAGTATGCACAAAAATGGAAAAGACACTTTGCGATACCTATCACGGAAGAATGGCTGCAGAAACTGATGGAGTTGGTGGAAATGGCAAAACTGACTACCCTGATTAAAGGAAAGAACATAAGTACTTTTGTTTCCACATGGAGACCGCTTCTGAACTTCGTAACTCTGGCTTTTATAGATAAGATGGATAGATCTTTATAGAAATGGCTTGTTCATATTATTATGGAAAAACAAAAAACTGATTGGAAGCGAATGCCTTATTTTATTGTGACAGAGAGAGTCGGACGTCAATGCTTTTTCTTTAATTTTCCCTCACTTCTCTTTCCCCTTTCCCCTCCCCCTCATTGCTTTTTTATTTACTTTCTGTACTTTGTATTTTATAACACTTTATAACTTCATAAAAAATGTTTGGATAAAAAAATATTAAAGCAGGCTTGCTAACCCCCATATGGTAAGTAAGCCCTTTGCTATCTTGTTGGAACTTGGAAGTTTATTTCCCCCGAACGAGATGAGGATAACTTATATAAATGTCAGATCCGTGTATCTGCCATTCTTCGTGGAAGGAGGAGGTGGGATTTGGAGTTGTCATCTTTAGTTCTCTTTCCTGTGTATCCTAAGTATCCTATTTCCTGCCTGGTCCTCTTTGTATAAACCTTAACCTGATTTATAACCGTTGCCTGGCGCCAGGAATGCCTGGAGAATTCTCACACCTTGGGAAATGAGAGGGGAAGGGGGGAACGAGTGGATTGCAAGATGACCCTGAGAAGCTCTTCTTATCTGTTTCTCAGAGAGGCTGGTACAATTCCATCTTCACACCGACGGACTGGTCGGAATCCACATCGGACGGTGGGGAGGGGGGTTCCTAATTTCCTTTATCCTGAACTGTATGCCCTGAGGGACCCCAGAGCCTGCTTTGAGTTTTGACTTGCTTTCATCCCTTTCAATAAAAAATATAAATCCCTTTTGAAATACAAAGTTCTCAAGAGTTCGTACTTTCTTGGAAGATGGGGAAGAAGCTGGTCCTTACAATAAGCATTTTAGCACTACAGAACTGGAAGGGGCTATTCAGTCCTAAACCCCCCACCCCTCCCATTCAACAAGGAATCCAAAAGAAGGCATCCACAATTCATTGGGCTTGGCTGCTAGTCTTATAAAGATGATTTGACTTGATGGCTCATCTCTGCAGCAGGGCATCCCATGAGGGAGACCCCAATACCTCCCCTGCTTGCACTGCAGAAATGGTTCGGCCACAAAGAAGTATTTTTCTAACGTTCACCAGATCTGCCTTCATGTAACTACACAGCACTGTTTTGTAACCTACCCTCTTGAATCATCAGGTCACCTTCAGGTCTGACAAGCCTTCATATTTTTAGAGTGCTATCAGTCCCCATGCTTTATTTCTCAGGATTAAATGTTCTCTCTCTCTCTCTCTTGATTCAGGGGGTTCAAATCAGAGAAATAATCAATTAAAGGGTTTGTTTTTTCTACTGATCTTAATTTCGCACCCACCTTTCCGCCTGTGATTCGGAAACAGCTTGAATTTGGCTTAGTGTACTTCTTAACTTGGAATTTTCTTCTTTCAGCTACGTAAAAGAGAAAAGATTCAGACGTTGAAGGATTTGGGAATTCTGGGAAGGAACTGTTCCAAAAGTGGATAGGCAACAAGATGGAAAATCAATCCAAGGTCACAACCGGGAAATGACAAGTAGCCAAAAAGTCTTGAAAATGTCTTGAATACAGAATTTGTGTCTTTGGCTGGGATCCACAAGATTTCTGTCCTTGCAAATGGCCCAGTTTGTGTTTCTCACACAGCCCCTAGCAAACCTTTCAATGTTTCAAAATCTGTGGAGTTTTTGCTGCATTCCTATATTCCGCCCCACAACCAGAAAGTAAAACAAACAAAAAAACAACCCAAGATTTCCCAGACCCGCCTGCCCATTCAGCCACGTAAAAGGAATTGCACTGGAGCTTTGCAAAGATAGAATCCCAAGCTTTCTGATAGGAAGGAGAGATTTCCAATGCCTCAAAAATGGAAACTTGATACGAAACAGGATGAGATTAACCTTGGGAATAGAGCGGGGACCTGTGAGCATTTGGGAGCTGAAAAACAAATTGTGGGCATTTTTGCAGCATAGCTTTGAACGAAATACTGGCATGTTGTTTTTACTCCCCCCCCCCCCAGACAAAACTGGTGGGTCTCCGATCCAGAAAATTGGTACTGGTCAGCCAGGGAACCCAGTGGACACTTAGACATAATGTAATAGCAAAAAAAAAAAAAAGTACAAATACAGGAAAATCTCTATCGCTCAGAATTGACCTGAGGGGTCCTTGGTGCTCTCTAAACTGGGTTGTTGTTTTTTTGCAGACGTTACATTACTCCAGGTAGGTAATGTCATCAGTGCTTGTAAGGAGGGGAGTCTACAAGGATACAATTAAGCTCAGAGAGGACCAAGGATCCCTCAGAAAAAGACTATTTAGACAGCCCTTATGCAGCAAAGCCTAGAAAGCAATGACAATAATTTTCTTTTTGCTATTGATATTTTATTATTCTTTTTTAATTGTTTAATTGTTCTGTTATTTCTATTGCTTTGTTTACACTCTTTTCACTTCTTCCTTTTTGTTGTAAGCCACCTAGAGTAGCCCCATGGCGAGATAGGCAGCTGTCCTTAGAAAGTAAACAGCACAAACTTAGTCCCAGCAAACCTCTTTCATTCACACGGCTGTGAATTATTGTCATTCCCAGTCCGAAAGGCCTCTCAAACAGTCTTTCAGAGGAGTGTTGATAAACACCCACCTTATCTCCCTTGGAATGCTGCCAGAGAACTAATTGCCACACGCAGGGCGAGGCCAAACTTAGCACAGAGTCAAACAGATCTTTTCCAGAGCTTTTACCAACCAGATGAACTAATTGCTTCCTGCAAAAGCTCACGTCCCATTAGCTTCTCTTTTATGTCTTATGGGAGGGGCCAATCATCTCCAAGCCTTACTCCCAAGTCGACCCTGTTTTCTTAATTGTTCCTGTCTTCTGGCAGCTCTGTGCATGCGCACACTGGGAACAGGCTCACAGTTTTTCTGCCTTACTGATGTCAGACTCCGGAGGCAGCAAAGAACTACCAGATGGCCTTGGCCCCCTCTCTGCCTCCGACTCAGAACCCTCGTCTAAGCCTTCCCCAGACCTCCTCACTGCCCGACTCTGCTGCCAGCACTGCTGGCCGCTAGTGGGATACAACAGCAGCCAATAAATTAAATAAAATTACTATTCAGAGTTGTGTTATGGTGCAAGTTCTGGGTTGGGCAGACTTTGGTTCAATTTCAGCTTTAACTCACTGGGTATCTCAGAGGGAATAAAGAACAGGGGGGAAAGAGCTGCTATCAGTGATCAGATAAAAGAAACCCAAGTCCAGGACAGAGCAGTAACTTGAGAAAACGCCTCAGACAAGCATCTCCTTAGTACACAGGATGATGAAGTGAGGAAGCCTGCAAAATTCTATTATTACACCCATTCTAACAAAAGTAATTTTAGGCCTTACACAGCATTGACTTCTTAGTCTGGCCTGCCCTATAGGGCTGACGGTATCTTTATATTACCCTGTTTCCACTAAAATAAGACATCCCCTGATAATAAGCCCAATCGGGCTTTTGAGCGCATGCGCTAAAATAAGCCCCCTCCCCAAAATAAGCCCTCCCCGAAAATATTTAAACGCATGTGCATCCGGTCCCCACCATTTCCTCTGGTGACAGAGCTGGAAATCAGGTAAGGCGGCAAGAGGAGCCCCGTCTTGCTCCACGCGCCCCGAAGTAATAAAACGTTCCCGAAAATAAGGCCAAGCGCTTATTTTGGGGTTCAAAAAAAATATAAGACAGGGTCTTATTTTCGGGGAAACACGGTAATCACATTGTTAGCTCAACCTACTTCATAAAATTGTTCCTGTGGGGATAAAAGTTGAAAGGGATTATACTATACATGTTACCTCAGAAAAAGAAAGGTGGGATATATATTTGCTAAGGATTTAGCCTTATTGTCCTGAGGAAGCCAGGAGGGAGAACAGCTTCCCAAGAGAGGCATCAACACTCACCTCTCGGTAATGCAGCTGCAACAGTCGGCAGAAGTCATCTTCTGGGGACATCTGATCACTCGGAGAGCTTTGGTCTCCTTTCCCAAGGCAGCCACAGGAGACGTGGTCATTTCTTCCCAGCTGCTCTGGAGAAAAGGTCTGGAGGTCCGAGACGTTGCAATAGAAAGAGTCTATTGGGCTGCTGCTGAGCAAGGCGCTGGGGGCGCTGGCCGAATGGGCTTCTTCGACGGCCGAGGGCTGATAGGAGCCGCTCCAGTCGTCCTCGTCATCTTGCAGCAAGGAGTCCGAGGCAGTTGGGTCTGCAAAAAACGGCTTTCGCAAGTCCTTGTTCAACCCCAGCGACTCGGCCAAGAAGGAGCTCTCATCCAGCAGGAGGCAGGACCTCGATGGCCCCTGCAAGCGAAGCAAAACGTTTGGGATTTTGACCATCTCAACGCTTTTCCTACACTGAGGCCAAAGGGCCTTTTGCACCAAACTGCCTAGCACAGGAGTCGGCAACCCGCAGCTCTGGAGCCGCATGTGGCTCTTTCATCCCTCTGCTGCGGCTCCCTGTCGCCGGTCGGCTCCACAATTGTTAGGGCTTTCGGTTAGGATAGGTGGAGGAAAAAGGATGCCGCGCTAGGAGGAGACTCTTTGGTGGGGGAACCGGACTTCCGGTCGGCTCCAGAATTTAACGGGGGGCTTCCAATTAGGACCTTTGTGGCTCTTTTGAGTGTTTAAGGTTTGCTGATCTCAGCCTAGAAGTTGTAGCTTTCCAAAAATCCCCTCCATTAACAGCTCATTTATTGACAATAAAGAATTGCCTCAAGTCTTCAAAGAATGAGGAAAGCCAAGAGGCTGAAGACCTTCTCCATTCATGGCCACTTGTGTCAGCCGAGCCAGTACAGGCTTTCCTTGACTTACGACCACAACTGAGCCCAGAATTTATGTTGATAAGTCAGAAATTTGTTAAATGAGTTTTGCCCCGTTTTATGACTTTTCTTGCCACATTTGTTAAGTGAATCACTGCCCTAATTTAACCGTGTTAAATTAGTAACATGGTTGTTAAGTGAATTTGGTTTCCCCATGGACTTTGCTTGCCAGATGGTCGCAAAAGATGATGTAACCCCAGAAGAGTGCAACCGTCATAAGTAGGAACCACTTGTCAATCATCCAAGTGTAAGTCACGTGACCACGGGGATGCTGCAATGGTCGTGTGAAAAACGGTCATAAGTCATTTTTCAGTACCGTCGTAACTGTGAATGGCCACTAAATGAACCGTTGTAAGTCGAGGAGTGCCTGTACATCAGTGTTTCTCAACCTTGGTAGCTTGAAGATGGGTGGACTTCAACTCCCAGAATCCCTCAGCCAGCACTGCTGCTGGGGGGTTCTGGGAGTTGAAGTCCACCCATCTTCAAGCTTCCAAGGTTGAGAAACACTGATGTATCTGAAGACACCACTCTGTTCACAAGAATGTTTTTGTTTCCCTCACACTTTTTTTTTTTTAAGTAATTTTATTAGAAGACATATTGGACATTTACACAACATACAACATATAAATAACTTATCATATTTAAGCATTGTTTCATAGTGGTCTTCCAATTATTACTTTATTCTTCTTCTCCTTTATCTTAATCTATTTATCCATCTTCTTCCCCTCCTTTTCCTTCCCCCCCTTTTTTCCCTTTTCCCCCATAGAGAACTATACATTTTAGTTATCTCTTTACTATTATACATTTCTACCTTCATATTATATACATTTTTATTCCACTCCGCACATATGATACATCTCTATTTTGTACTTCTATTTTTCTCTCCTAATAGTTATTGTTCTTCATTGTTAGTCTTAAGGCAATTATACCTCGCTGGTGCTTAGGTGGTGCAGCGGACTAAGTGCCGTTAAGTGCTAGCACTTAGCTGCCAGCTGCCTGCAATTAGTGCGAGTTCAAATCTCACCAGGCTCAAGGTTGACTCAGCCTTCCATCCTTTCGAGGTAGGTAAATTGAGGACCCGGATTGTGGGGGCAATAAGCCAGCTTTGTATAGAACAACACCGCTTGGGGGGGGGGCAAAGCCCTAATAAGCAGGTATATACAAAAAAAGTATGCAGGCTATTCCTATAATGCATTGTAAGCTGCCCTGAGTCTACGGGGAAGGGCGGCATATAAATTGGGCTAATAAATAAATAAATATTATTTATTCCATATTCTATAATATTCTGTCTCTTCTTTTTCCTTAATTTCTTTTGTTAATCTGTCCATCTCAGTTCATTCTAAGATCTTATCTATTAGTTCTTCCTCCGTTGGGGTTCTTTTCCTGTTTCCAGTTTTTTGCATACGTTATTCGTGCTGCTTTTTATTTATTTTTATTTTTTTATAATTATTTTTATTTATTTTTATATGCTGCCCTTCTCCGGAGACTCAGGGCGGCTTACAATGCGTTAAGCAATAGCCTTCATACTTTTGTATATTTTATACAAAGTCAGTTTATTGCCCCCACAAACCGGGTCCTCATTTTACCCACCTTAGAAAGGATGGAAGGCTGAGTTGACCTTGAGCCTGGTGAGAATTGAACTCGCAGTAATTGCAGGCAGCTGCATGTTAAATGCTGCCTTAGTAGGAGGCATTAGCCTCCTACGCCACTCAGGCTCCTTTTAAGATGTGTAGCATCCAATATTTTATTGGATTTTATTTTATTTCTTTGCAATATGGTTTTGTAAAAATTCCTAACAAGAATGTTTCTGGCTTCTTGTCTATTTGTTGTTCTGTAATTTGTTCTATCCACCACACTTCTCCTCTTTTGAGAGAGATTTCCAAACGCTCTTTTGTCAATCCTGAGAAAAATTGGTAAGAACAAGATGAGGAAACTGCACTGTCCACCATCATTTTTGCAGCCTCACCCACAGAGGTGAAGCAACACCGTTAAAGAACTCCATTAAAACAAAATTCAGCTACTACAGCATGTATTTTACTTGCTCAATTCACATAGCCACCCCCACCTCACATATATGAGCAGCCTGACAAAAAAAAATCACATCAAAACAATTACAACCAAACCTTCAAATTAAAACCGTTGAAAGTAATTAAAAGCCACATACACAAAATATAGAGCAACCAATAATTTGGACAAACAAGAGATTGCAGATTCCTTGGGATTTCACGGCAAGGCCTCCTCTTCTAAAAGGCCAACAGGCATCGAAGGGGCTCTTCGGGCCAGCCAAATGTCTCCCTTTGGAAGTTTCCTCAAATAATAAGTTTTATGTCAAGCTACCCCAATATCTTGGGGTTCCCCCAACTCCTTACGAAGAACTGCTTGAGCAGGGAGCTGGATTAGAAGACCTCCAAGGTGCCTTCCAGCTCTATTCTATTCTATTTTAATTTATTTTTTTGATTTAAAAAAAAAACTTTATTAAACATATAAAAAGTAAAATGTTATACCATGTATATACAAGATACTTATATATTAATACAGACGACAATACATAAAAAGAAAAAGTGACTTTGGTCTTACATCCATTATCTTATTAACGGTGCATATTTAATTATTAAATATAATAATTATATAATTATATATAATAAATATAATATTAAATATAATAATAAGGGCACAGTGCCTTCCGCCGTGCCCTTAAAACCTCCTTTTGCCAGCAAGCCGGGCTGGCCTAACACTTTTTAAAATGTTTTAATTGTCTGTTATTGTTTTTAATCATGGGGCCAAATTTATATAAATCTTTTTAATTGTATTTTAATGTTTGTAGTTTATGTTTTTACTTGGCTGTTCACCGCTCTGAGTCCTCAGGGAGAAGGGCGGTATACAAATTTATAAATAAATAAATAAATAAATAAATAAATATTGTACAGAATTTTACATTTACTCTCATAGAAATGAGAGTAAATGTAAAATTGTGTACGATAATAATATTTTATTATTATAATTTTATCGTACAATAATATTGTACAAATTATCCAATTATACCACTTATTCCACACTATATAACCTTTTGAGTCTACCTTATCCTTGTCCATTTCCGCACAATTATAGATTTTTTTGCATTATTAATTGGTCCGTTGGCAATTGATCAGTTTTCCAATATTGGGCGAGCGCGCCAATCTGGCTGCAGTGATTGTGTGTAATATTAAGTACTTTATTTCTTTCCTATAGTTTTCTTTAATCATCCCTAGTAGGAAAATCTCTGGTTGAGTTCTATTTTTTCCGAAGTTATTTCTATTAGCCAAATTCTTATTTTTTCCCAATATTTCCCAATTTTTGGGCAAAAAGAAAAATTGTCTATTCTATTTTAAACTGCTGCACAACAAAAGCACATTAATCAGCAGAGTAAATGGCTATTATATTGTGATGCTGTGTGTTTTTTTAAAAAAAAGATTTCTCTCCTGTCCTTCTGCGGCAACCACTGGCCTGCTGAATATCTCCCTCTAGGGATCAATTTTGCACCGATCTGTTTTGTATTGATCGATCAGCATTATCTCCCTTGCAGCTCCTCTTCTCCAAATTCATAACTGACTCTAAATCTACAGCAAAATTCTCCCTGCTTTTTTTGCCTAGCTGAATCGCTTTGAGGCAGGCAGTGTCAAGATGGGGGGGGGGGTTTCCTGGAGAGGAAAAAGCCCAGTTGCCCCCCTTTTTTTCCTCCCCCCCCCCCAAAAAACCCCAACCTCTCCCCCCCCTTGCCCCCTCACCTCGGGGCTGCCGTTCTTGGTGCCCGCATAGGAGGCTGTGGTTGCCTTTTGCTCCTGACTCCTCACGAAAGCCTTGAAGGAAAAAGGGTTGGCTCCTTCCCCCAGGTTGCCAGGCGGCCCACCTGCAACAGGTAAGAAAACAAATAAAAAGGACAGGAAGAAAAAATTTATCTCCCCCCCCCCAACCCCTTCCAGGCAATTCGGCTCTCCATCAACTGGGTTTGCCAATGTCAGTCCTTAGAAGTCCAGGCAGGGTACGCCTCCCCTTCTGCAAGCAAAAAACACTTTGCACATGCTCAGAAACACTTTCTTCCTTAGCTCTATTGCAGAAAATGGGAATTGTACATATATACACACCTCGCTGAATGCCACCACCAATATATCCCAGCCGCACCCCAACCCACGACCCCTGGGTGGGAACCATGGGACATGGAGTCCTCTCTGAGAGACGCCGCTTCTCCTCCAGGCCTTACTTCCCCAGGAACCATCCTCCCCAGCCTGGCCAGGAAAGAGGCACAGCATCCCAAAGGAACTTCATTCCCCCCCCATCTCGCTCTGTAGAAGGCACTCTGGACATGCTCAGAAACACTTTCTTCCTTAGCTCTATCCCAGCCACACCCCAACCCACGACTCCTGGGTGGGAACCATGGGACATGGAATCCTCTCTGAGAGGCGAGAGGCGCCGGTTCTCCTCCAGGCCTTGCTTCCCCAGGAACCATCATCCCCAGCCTGGCCAGGAAAGAGGCACAGCATCTCAAAGGAACTTCATTTCCCCCCCCCATCTCGCTCTGTAGAAGGCACTCTGCACATGCTCAGAGGCTGGGGCCCAATAAGGCCGTCCTTACCGGCAAGGCCTGCCCAGGGAGGCTCCGTGCTTTCCCCGAGGACGGAGCCGGGCGGAAGGGCGCTATGCCCGGCCATGGGCCGCGGGAGACGACCGAGCGTCTCCCCCTGCTCCTCCTCTGCCGCCAGAAGGGCGGACTTCCGGAGGGGCGGGGCGTGGGCGGGGCCTCGGCGCCACGCCCTCCGGACCAGAGAGCTACTAAACTGGAAGAGGCGCGCGCGGGGAAAACCTTGCCTTCCTCGGCACTTTAGTTGCGTTTGGGGCCTGGGGTTTTCAATCCGTCCGCATCCTGAATTTTGAGCCCGTTTTTTAAACCGCTGGTACCGCCAATTAGATTGAGTTCCCCTTCTGACGCCCGCCCCCCCCCCCCTCTAAATTGTTTTATGAAGATAATGGAAGAGTACTTGGGCCCCCAGGCGGAACCTTAGGGAAGGGGTCTCCAACCTTGCCCCCGCTTTAAGCCTAGAGGACTTCAACTCCCAGAATTCCCACTGCCTACTTCCTTCCGTATGTGAAAGCAATTCTATTAAGGGAGGGGTGGAAAACTATGAGGATCCCTTTAGGGCAGGGGTGGGCAATTGTGGCCCCTTTATGACCTGTGGACTTCAACTCCCAGCCAAGCTGTCTCAGGAATTCTGGGCGTTGAAGTCCACAGGTCATAAAGGGGCCATATTTGCCCACCCCTGCTTTAGGCAGAGGTCTTCAAACTTGGCCGCTTTAAGGCTTGTGGCCTTCAACTCCCAGAATTCTCCAGCCAGCATAGCTGGAGAATTCTGGGAGTTGAAGTCCACAAGCCTTAAAGCGGCCAAGTTTGAAGACCTCTGCTTTATGGTCTGTGGAACTTCAACTCCCAGAATTCCTGAGCCAGATGTTTTGTACATATTCAGGATGGATTCTCTTACTATTCCCTTCCTATTTTATAATAATAATACAGTAACTTTATTGTCATTGTACGTATACACAGTATACCCGTACAACGAAATTCACTTAACACCCAAAGACCACGTCCAACACACATAACAATCCCCAAACACACTCCCACCCACCACAATTCCCCACTCCTAAACCACCCAAACATCCACACAACAGACCAAGTAATGCTGTCCAACAGCTCACTGATGGTGGCCCTTTAGTTCCTTGTTGAGTGCAATTATAGCTCTGGGATAAAAACTATTCAGAAGACGTGAGGTCCAAGATTTAATTGTTCTATATCTTCTGCCAGAAGGCAACAGTCCAAAAAGATTGTAAGCATACTTGTTCGATCTGCCTCAATCCTGCTTTTACCTGAAGTTCAGGACACAATAGCCAGAAATTTGGAAACTGCACTCACTTCACCTTGGATTATCTTCCATGGTTATATCTTCCTTACCACGTTTCAGAATTCAGTCGTGCATACTCTACACACCCTATTATAGAATTAGAGATCTCCAATACAGGTCCTCAATTTACAATTACAATTGGATCCAAAATTCCCATGGCTAAGAAAGGAAGTTGTGAGTTGTGCCAAATTTAAGACAATTTTTGCTAAGATTTGTTTGTTTATATAGCCTACTCACTCACAGCGACTCTAGGCAGCTTACAAGCAGGTGTAAAGCAAATCACTGCAGTCATTAAGCGAGTCGTTATTAAGCGAATCCAGCCGTTGTTAAACCAATCCAGCATCCCCATCAGGGTGGATTTGATTTAAATCGAGTTGATTTAAATCACAATTTAAATCATGATTTAAATCACTAGTAAAAAGGTTTGATTTAAATCAACTCGATTTAAATCATAATTTTTAAAGAGCATCTCTGCTACTCCTTTGACCCACTGTTGACTCATCGATAGTCCCAGTGTTGCAGAATATACAGCCTTGTGCTACATAACTAACCTCCATTTCATGCTGAATAAACTAAATTATTTATGTATCTTAAAAAGAAAACTATCTTACGATAGATTTGTACCCCAAGTTTTTTATTAAAATAAATCCGATAAAAATAAAAAAAATCCGATTTAAATAAAAAAAATCCGATTTAAATAAAAAAAATCTGATTTTTTTAAAAAAAATCATTGATTTTTATCCACCCTGATCCCCATTGACTTTACCTGTCAGAAGCCAACTGGTTGATCAAATGACCCTGGGACACTGCAACCATCGTAAATACATGCACCTGAATTTTGATCCTGTGATTGTGGGGAAAGGTGCCACAGTCATAAGTGCGAGGACCAGCTGTAACACACTTTCAGTGTAGTTGTATCTTTGAATGGTTGCTAAATAGATGGTTGTAAGTCAAGGACTACCTGTGTATCTGTAGCTCAGGGTTGAACCGTGGGAACCTTGGTGCTCTCCGAACTTGGTTGGCTTTTGCAGGTTTTTGAATAAAACTCTGCATCGGCAACAGGAAGGGCATCCGGCCAGTAAACAATCAGGTCCATTCAGTTGCCCAGATTGCACCCCGCAAGGGATTAAGAGGTCATTAAAAGATGATGATGACCCAAGTAGGTAACCTCGTCGCTGCTAGCAAGTCTTGGGTTTTCTGTGTTTATATATACACCTGCCAGTGTTTGGGGGGGAGGTTCTCGATAGCTCCTTGATTAGGGAATTGTGACTGCTAAAAAATGGCGCCCATTTCCAGGGTGAGTCCAGGAAGTCCAAGGGGCGATAGAGCCTGCCACCCTTCCTGAATACGATCTCCAGAATCCCAATACAGGAGGATGTTTGAAGAGAGCAGCTGCTTTGGCCCTCAGCTTCTCTATATAGTGGAAGCCGTGGATTCCCCGAAGTGGCTGCCGTTTTGGAGTCGACGCAAATCATTGTGGCTGCTCTCAGAATGGTGCCCGCTTTCAGGACAGCAGCATAAGGCTCAAAGGCAGAGGCCATTGTACTGGATCAGACAGTGCGTTAAGCAAACCTGAGTTAAAAGTTGCCCATTCCTGGTACCATGCTTTCTCAATATCAAAGGCTAATTCTGCTGACTGCCAGCAGTTCGACAGTTCAATTCTCATCGGCTCAGCCTTCCATCCTTCCGAGGTCGGCAAAATGAGGAACTAGATTGTTGGGGCGCAATATGCTGATTCTGTAAACAGCTTTGTGAGGGCTGTAATAGCATCATGTCGTGGAATGGAAGACATTGTGTTCATAAGTTTATATCCTCATGTCAGATACTCTTAGTACGTGAAAGCAAATATGACATTGTTGCCATTAGTGAAACATGGTGGGATGAAACCCAGAAGGATTTAAATTTTTCAAAACAGACCTAATAAAAGAGGAGGAGTTGCACTTAAACTGCTGCACCTTTGTAGAAATTTAAAAAAGAAAAGAAAACCTCCTTGAATGCACTTGGGTTAATATGAAAGGAAAACAGAATGAGGTTGTCATAGGCGTACACTACGCACTACACAATCAAAGGAACTAGAGGCACCGTTTGCTAATCATTTCGCTGATTAACAGGAAGCATAGAAATGGGGGGCTTTTAACTATCCTGACTTGGAAACCCCTAGCACCTGCCGTATTTCCCTGAAAATAAGACCCTGTCTTATATATTTTTGAACCCCTAAGCCTTATTTTCAGGGAGGTCTTCTGGGGCACGTGGTGCAAAATGGGGCTTTTTTTTTTTTTTTTGCTTTAATTTATATGCCGCCCTTCTCCGGAGACTCAGGGCGGCTTACAATGCATTAAGCAATAGCCTTCATACTTTTGTATATTTATACAAAGTCAGCTTATTGCCCCCACAATCTGGTCCTCATTTCACCTACCTTTGAAAAGATGGAAGGCTGAGTCAACCTTGAGCCTGGTGAGATTTGAACTTGCAGTAATTGCAAGCAGCAGATGTTAATAACAGTGCTTTAGTCCACTGTATTACAGGCTCTTCTGTACTCTTGCTGTCTTACCTGATTTCCAGCTCTGTCTCCCTAACCCTAATCAGAGGAAATGGCGGGGACGGGTTGCACATGCAGTTTAAATATTTTCAGGGAGGTCTAATTTTCAGGGAAACATGGTAGTGGGAGATTGAGCAGTTCCCTAATGGGTCTTATACATTTAAAACATTCTTATAACTGCCCATCTTTCAGTCTAATTACTGCAGCTCCCAAAATGCCATTTTAAACATTATCCAACATTAAAACACAAAACACTGAATATATAAACAAAAACAAAAAAACCGGGTGCCAATCCATGCCAACTTCTCATTGTTTGATCTCCCAGTGCCTGGTAAAAAGCCAGGTGTTTAAGGCTAAAAGGGTGGAGGCCCTTTGAGAATATGTGTCAGTTCCTAAAAGTGATACTGCCATTCAATTGGGAGAAGGGGGAGATTTGGATTCGATTTACTAGCATTGCCTGTGTCAACAGATATTTTAAAACCTATATCCTGGCGCCAAAGCGTCCTGAGATCTCCTTAACATTGAGGAATGTTTATGACAGCCATGTGGGCTGTTTCACTTTAAAGGTTACTGGAGGAAAACGATGTGAATAGGTTTATCTGGTTTTCAGGGCAGCTGGTAAAGAAAACATCTTCACATTTGTGTATTGGCTAAAATCTGCATTCTGTCTTAAGGGAGGGGTCTCTACTGCTTTAATCCTACTTGTCTTGCCTAAGGGTATTCAGATTGCTGTCACTTCTGCTTAATAAAAGGTTCCTTTTGAAATATTACGTTTCAAGAGTTTTTACTTTCTTAAGTGGAAAGGAGAGGCAATCCTTACAATATGGCTCGTATCTCACAAAGCTTCGTTGGCCTTAGAGAGTCCCTTGGAAGAAATTATCTTGCTCAGTTACAGTTACCTCAGAGACATGGACAGGAACATCCCATAATATTAAGCACAATCATTGAAATGACCATTGCATTAAAAAGAGAACGTTCACATGGGAAATGGCATCGTGAGTCCCGTAATTCTGTTGTGAAAAGGTACAATCCAATTCAATGCCTGAGATACACACTGTGACTGAAGATCTTCTCACACTCAGGCATGTTTATTATTTTTCTCCCACGTGAATTATTTGGTGTCGATGGATGTCTTCACACTCAGTATAGCTCTTTCCACACTCCAGGCATCTGTAGGGTTCCTCTCCTGTGTGGATTCTTAGGTGGCTTTGAAGATGGTCATTTGCTCTGAAGGATTTTTCACATTCTGGGCATTGATATTTCCTTTCTACCTCCTGGATCCTTTGGGGACTCCCTGGTCTTCCGAAGGACCCTCCACCCACCCTCCAGGCATTCATATGGTTTCTCTCTGCAATGGATCTTTTGATGTTTATAAAGGTTTCCTCTCAGATTGAAGCTCCTTCCACACTCCAGGCATTTATTTCCTCCAGTGTGGATGCTTAGATGCCTTTGATGAAGATAATTATTTTTGAAGGATTTTTCACATTCCCCGCATTTGTAATTTTCGTAAATAGATCCTATGATGTTTATAGAGGATGCCTCTATGACTGAAGCTCTTTCCACACTAGATATTTATAAGGTTTTTCTCCTATGTGGATTCTTTCATGTCTATAAAGGTTGCTGATATGACCAAAGTTCTTTCCACACTCCAGGCACTTATAAGGTTTTTCTCCTGTGTGGATCATTTGATGTGCATAAAGGCTGCTCGTCTGACTAAAGCTCTTTCCACACTCAAAGCATTTATAAGGCTTTTCTCCTGTGTGGATTCTTTGATGTCGATCATGGCTGCTTTTGTGAGAGAATCTCCTTCCACACTCAAAGCATATATAAGGTTTTTCTCTTATGTGGATATTTAGATGGCCGGAGTGGATTCTTTGATGTGTATAAAGGTTTCCCAACTGATTGAAGCA